TCTAAATCGATTAAAACTACGTCGAATGTTTATTTTTATAAAATGTTTTTATTTTAACCGCACCAAAAAAAAAAAATTTTTTTTTTCTTGCACTGGCAAATATCCAATAAATAGTCTGCTGCTTTTGCCGCTAAATATCGTGAAGTGAAAACAAACGGGCAGAATACAAGAAAGAAATTTACATTCGGCTTTAGACGAATTTTTTATACCAGTCACCTTTATCTTTGAAAACACTAAGAACAAGAAAAACAAAAAAAAAAACCATTCAATTTCGATACTCTACACATCACATTTGCGTAGGATATAAAGGCGTTTCTTAGATTTTTGTGCAGGCGGCTAAGAGTCAGCCAAAGAATATACGCAGAAATTTATTCCTTGTACTTATTGTAGGTTATGAGCAATGAGCGAAAAACCAAATTTTTATACTTTTAAAAACAAAGGTACTTTCAGTTGGTGTTGCACTGTAGGCAAGTTCTTTGACCGATTTGGCTCATTTTCAATATCACTTTGCTTGCAAGAACTTCCATTTTTTTTTTTTGCCAACTTTGAAGAAGACATCTTAATTTTTGCGGCTGGGAAATTATTTTCCACACATGGACGCGCAGATGGAAGACAGTCGCGGTGCTTTCAGAATTTCACACTTATCATCAATTTATATACTTCACAGCGCCTTTAGGATATTGCAAACACATTGAAGGCAGTTGCCCTTCAGTATGTGGATTCAGACTTTGAAACTATTCAGGAATGCGTGCACTTCGTAACGGTTCTGAAGCTTTATTCAGGATATTGCAAACGTTTTAATCGGAAAATGTTCACCACAAACAATCTGGCAGATGAAACACATTACGAATATGCAGACTTTGTAGCGTCTGTGGAGCTTTTCTCAGTATGTTGCAAACGTTTTGACAAAATTAATATACCCCCAACCTTCGATGGTGGATGCATAAAAACAAAATTCTTGAAAGAAAAAGAGCATACGCGTCATCATAATTTGATGTCAAGTATAAAAGAAGAAAAGCACATGTGATAAATAATCAAATGAGAAAGTACTAAACGATTTTGAGCGAAATTTGCATACCCTAAAGAATAAATATGCAACTTTGTGTTAATGTTGGGAGGTTTGTACATTATTATTTTTTATGTACACCAAGTAAATACTTCTGCTAAGTTCCGATCGATGTCAATGTTTGATTTAGGTTTCTATTTTATTGTATGCGCCCTTCTAAGATAAATTGTTTAAGATGAAGAATTTATTTATAATCGCCAAAGCGTATTTATATTTGTTACAAACTGGATTAAAAATCTACAATAACTTTTCACTGGAAGTGCTCATATTTTATACACGGCACGAAAAATGAGCTGTTAACGAATCAAAATGTGTTCTTGTTGTTGTACAATCGAACCTTTTTTTTCAGCAGAAAGGTCATAATTTTCATTTTCGTTAATTAAAACACAAGGAGCTAAAAATATATTTAAGCATCATTTCTCGAATTTTTCGTTATCGTCCCTACGGCGGGGCTTATGTAGTTGATCAATATGTTTGTAACATATAGAAGGAATAATGAAAAGTAATCTTATGGCAAACAGATCAATTGTTAAGTAGCTTATGTGCTAGACCTTGAAGCAACTGCTGTTAAAACGAGATGTCGAAAACATTGATAAGAAAAAGTTGAACGATAAACAAATGGTTCGTTGAAAAAAAAAAAATCCTAAAATCTCATGAATCTGAAAGTTTTCTGAAGACGCAATGAAACGATGACCTAACGGGACAGGCAGAAGAACGACATGGTACTTATGTACAGATATTTGTTCACCACTTAAGTCCTTCAACAGGATTATACGGCTTTCTAAACTCTCCCACCCATTCGACCTGAAGTTACCTGCGTCCCACAAGACGCACTGCCGCGACTTGTCTGCGCGCCTTTGGAACAACCCACCAACAGTGGTCTATTCCGCCGTGTTAAAGACAAACGCTCACAAACACTGCTCCCTTTCTCTGTTTCTTCGTAGAGCGCTTGTTGATCATCACCGTGCCCGCTCGTGCAATGGACATCTCCTGAGTGGCTGGTCGTTTAAAAAAAAAAGCGAAAGCAAAAGGTGGCTTTTGTTGCTGCTTAAAGGAAACAAGTTCAATCGCAATGCGAAGTTGTCTAAGAAATTTAATTTGATAAGGAAAATGAACTCTACGTTTATTATTATTATGAAATTTTTTAGACCAATGTATGCTGTAACAGCAGAAATCTACATTTTCGTATTTTGCTTCTACTTTTTTAGCTATTCTGGCTGTCTTTATAACTTTGATTCACGGCAACAACAAAGTTGAGACGAATAGTTTCACTTTGTATGGATTTGTTGTTGGATTTCCAACAACACGGCCGTAAACATATCGACTTAAATTTTTACACTAATCTGTGATATTTATAACATACTTAGCGAGCTGTATGCAAAGATCATTGTTGGGTGTTGCAACCGAGACGAATGAATATTACAGTGTGCGGGTAGTCGATACCGTGCTTATTATCGTCACAATGAGAAATGAACTAATCGTGCAAACAGCTTTAGTAATATATTTGACCAACATTTCCGTTTAAAAGAATTGAAATATTTTCCAGATTAGTTTACAAACGAATGTATGTTTAGTATTCTCTACTTCGGAAGTCGAGTTGAATTCTTGTTGTTTATCTTGATTTAAGTTTTCAAAATAATTCTTAAAGTCTGCCTTTAAATATAATGAGCGAAAGATAATGAATAGATGCAAACTGTCCGTTCCCCATTTTTCGAAATAACGATGTATTAGCAGATTCGTATCTAGTGATTATTATAATCACTGTTCTCGTATACTTTCACTATTTTATGGTATATGCACGACGCTCTTCTAATGTAAAAGCTTATCGCGAATCCTGCTGCTTTACGCAACTTCTGTATTTATTCATTCACGTAGCAGAAATGATGTAAACTACGGTACCAATGAAACTTGAAAATTTAAATTACTTTTTGAATCTCTAGCCACCATTTACGTCTTATTGACGCTTTTTAAAAAAAATTTTTTATGTTATCATGACAAAATTTCTTTTTTCAATGTTTCTGTGATTCACTTTGTATGAATTCATATAAAAAAGTTGAAACAACGATCATTATCATTGAGAGAATGTTAAGTAAAAAATACAAAAATGATGACGTCATTTTCTCACTAAAACTGTACTAAACGGCGATGTGCGATGTATTTTTAAAAATTTTTTAAAACAAAAATAAATAAATAAATAAAATTTAAATTAGTTACATCTAATAAATAGACGTCCACAATACCGTTATATCGTACAATAAAAAGCATTTTTTGTGTAAACAAAAGTTTTTTTTTTTATTTTTTGCTTAACAAATAAATATAATTAATACAACAATATAACAATGGACGTAAATTAAAAATTGAATTAAGAAAGAAAATTTGTAATATTGTACTAGAAGAAAAAAGTCACGCTGCACGATGCTATTCCTCAGGTTCTTCTAATTCTTGTCTATAATTGAGCGACCGACAATCGTATCCGTATTACTTTTAGGCTGCACTTCGTTATTGTTTGATAGTTCTAATTTTATTCTAGCCAAAATCTTCGTCGGCTCGGTCTGTCCGATATTGCACACACATTAGTTTTTTGTTTTTGTTATCTCCAATGAAAACTATTACGAAATTACTTAAAAATATTGGTTCAACGAAAAAGCTCAAACACTTTAACAGCATATTTTACTTATAGTTTAAACAAATTTTATTAAAGCAAATTTATGGCATTGTGATCAATAATATGTTGCCAAACTATTATATCGCGACTGTAGAAACCGTGAAGTTTCTCGTCGAAAAGCTGCGTCTCTTTTGAAGTCAGGCTTAAAACATTCAGAGAATTTAAGAGATAGAGAGAGAAACAAAATGTAGTGGATGCTTGAAAACTCTCCAGGTATGTTCTTCAGAGTTTTGCCGAATCATTACATACGCTTGTGGTGGTCGTGAAAATGACTACGCCTTTGTCTTTTGGCCAATTCCGAACTCTTTATCTTAATTAGGTAACTTAATCACATTACGAGACAGATGAATAACTCATGATTCTAAACTCATCTGTCCGTCGATTCAGATAAGATTAGAACTATTTTCTGAATCGATATGTATAATAAAAGATGGGTGCAGCTCAAGTTCTTCCGCTTGTAGCTTTCCATCCCCAAAAACTTCATATACCCTTGTACTATATGCGGTGTAGGGTATAATAAGATTGAATATACATTAAGTGTGTACAATTACCTGAAAAGAGCGTCTAAGTTAATACAGCACAATATGACATCGACATATAGGAAAAATGGATTTTCGTTTTGCTTTGCGGTGACTTGTTCTTTTCGGCATTAAAAGTTTATACATTTCCATTATCTCTCATTCATTCATTCATTTCCTATAACTTACATTGTCTTATATCTTTTTCTCTAAAAAATTTTCAATATGTACGAGTATCACATTGCTTGTGCGCATTTGAGATTAACTGTATTGAGGGCCCTGAGATCGTTGGCAAAAGCATTCATTTTGTATCAACTGTTTCAGTTAACGGCCAAATTCACTTTTTCAGCGGCAAAAATCATCTCACAGCCTCAAATTGCTAAAATATAAAAGAAAAACAAAATATTTTGATAGATATTTATTTAAAATATACATGCATATATATATATATATATATATACATTTATGTGTGTAAAATATAGCGGTAAATTTGTAACGTCATCGTGAAAACACATGGCCTCGCAGTGAGGTTTTCATGCAAAAACATAAAAGATTTATATATTTATATAAAGTTTTCTTTAAAAAGATAAAGATTAAAAATTTCGTTCAAAAAGTAATAATAAAAACATTGAAAGTAAAAAAATCGCGAAAAAATATTTTTTCATGTGTATATAAAAAAAACTTGTACTTTATTCAATTATTAATTAATGATTTTGTTGTTGTTGTTGTTGTTGTTTTTTTCATTCTTTAGATTAAACGACTCTTTGCACGATAAGGATCTTCAGGTTAACCGTGATTTAGAGGAAATCGAAACCATTTTCCGCAGTATATCTAGCTTGCAGGATAAATTTAATGCTCTTTTAGAAGAGATACAAGCAGTGCATGCTTTCGAGCCAAATATCACTAAAACCGAAAACGAATTGGAGAAATTGATTCGAGAAAGTAAAGCAACCGTTGATGAAAGTAATCATTTAATAAATAAGACCAAGGAAACGTATCTTAGCAAACAGAATCTAATACCTAGCGATATTGCGCAGGAATTTACAGCTCTTGAACTTTTATCGGAACGCGTACAAAGCAATATGGAAACGAAACAAAAGGAATTCAAACGTGCCAAAACGGTACGTACGGATTATTTAGCCGGCGTCGATGAGATACAACGTTGGTTAATGCAGGCCGAGGTAGAGGTACAAGATCGTTCCTTGGCACCAGCTCAAATGAAAGAGCTTTTGCAACGCATTAATCATGAGATAAGTGGTATATATGAACGTTTCACGTTGGTTAAAACGAATGGACAATTAATTATCGATAATTGCCGTAATAATGAAGAAAAGATTTTAGTGCAAAATACGGTCGAACAATTAGGTCAACAGTTGGCTCAAGTACGTTCATGGTTGGACGAGAAGAAACAACAAGTAGGTGATAGTTTAGATGCCTGGACACGTTTTATGAACTTGTATCAAATTGTGATGAGCTGGGCAGCAGAGAAACAGGCTTTTATTGATCAAAATATTGTATTGAGAACATTACCAGAGGCACGTAATAAGTCCACAGATTATCAGGCGGCTGTGAAGAGTATTAAACCGATTGTCAAGCATTTGAGCGAAATGGATAAGGAATTAGAACACATTAGTCAGGTAACTACAGTAGGCGATCTCAAGGAAAAATTAGAAGAAGCCGAAGAGGCAAAAGTCACTGTGGAAGCGGTATTACTGCAAAGGGTAGGTGTAAAATAAGAAAAAGTATAAGGTTATTATTCGGTTTTTTTTTTTTTTCTTTTTTAGAATGCACTACTATTGGAAGCTTGTGAGGAATGGGATCAATGCGAGCGTAAAATTAAAGAGATTCGCAATTGGATAGAGAAGACGAAACAATCATTGGAGTCAACGCAGCATAAAAAGAAGCCACTACGTGATCAATTGGGTTACTGCGAAAAAACAACGGCGGACATCAACGTGCAGAAGACCAAACTAAGTTTGTCTATAGAAAAACTGGAGGTAAGAAAATTCTTTTGAAATTTTTTCCAATGCTTCGGTTATTAAATTTCGATTTAGGTTCACTTTAAAAATGGTATGGGAGGTGATCCACGTTTAAGCGAAAATGTCGATGAATTGCTAACCATTCTGGATAGTTTAGCGGATATGGTAAAGGAAAAATGTTCAAATCTTGAAGAGACCCTTAATCAAATCGACATTTATCAAAAACAAATGCAAACCTTACGACAAAAAATAATACAAGAAGAGCAACAATTACGTCTTGTACTGGCACCCACCTATTTACCGCATGATCGTGATCGTGCTTTAGCCGAACAGCAGGTATGTACGATTTTTGCTATCGAACAAAACAGCAGTCAGTTTGTTTCGAATGGAGTTGAACTAGAAAAGAGTTTATTTAAAAAAAAGGAAAAAAGGTTTAATCCTTTATTCAGGAATTTAGATTATATCATGTACCAGCTACAAAGTAGTTAGGATAATCAGTGTTTTTGGTCTTTGTTTTTTTTTTTTAATGAAATGCGCTCATTACTCATTTAATTCATCTCAATGAATTAACTCCTTTCTAAGCAACGAAAATATTAAACACACATTTTAATTGAAAAAAGTTTATGAAACACCGTAAATTTTTGTTTGTGAAACTGAGTTTAACTAACCTCTTTGACTGTATTGAAATACAACCGAAAAAAACAACCAATAACGTTGATCTGAACAGACAATAAATGCACGGTGGCTGCGTTATTTCAAAATTTACTTTACTTTTTTTCATTGTTTTTTTTTTTTTTTTTTTTAAGTTGAATGCTCGTACGGCCTACATCCTTCATTGTCGTATTTCATAACATAAAAAAGAAAAATAAAAAAATAGCGATTTGCAAAACAATTTCCATCCATCTCCCTATGTGTTTTTTCTATAATTTTTAGTTGACATCCTTTTCATGTACATTTAAGTTTTAAATATGTAACTTCATATGTCATTTTTGTCTAAATATAAATCATATCGTATCATTTGGATTGGATGAACACACAAAACAAGTTAATAGATAGTGAAAGCTACGCATATCGGGTTATGAAATTGTACGGTCTAGCAAGCACTTTGAAAACAGAAAAGATGATCTCATTTATTAAAGTTTGCACGCATTCATTAGAATGTGTATAATTTTGGGAGAAAAAATTTGGTCCTAGAAATATAAAAGAGGACAATTTTTGATTTTTATTGCATTAAGAAAATTTAAGCAATAGCTTGATTATACCCAAAAACGTAATTTGAGAGTGGATTTTCCCTGCTTGCAAAAAGTATAAATACGCATCAGAGTGAATACGGTCTGATGTAGTCATAACAATCTTTTCTTCTGTCTGTTGCTAAGATTAAGTTTGAAGAAATGAAAACATTGTAGTAGGTCAAGGTGTTTCGTTAAATATCCTACACCATTGCGTCATACAATTATTTATATAACGACTTTTCAAAGAAACATATCAGCGCACCAAATTCATTAAAACGTCTCAAAAATTGCGACCTACAGGTTGAACACAAAAAGTCTGACGGACAGATGGACATCGGTATAAGAAATGGTATCATAAGTTATTGTCAGTGTGGATCTGTACAAACTTAGTGCACACTTGTTTGTCCCGCAAGTGGCACAGGGTATAAAAACCATGTGATCTTCCAAACTAATTTACTAGTTTGTAGCAAACATAAAACGAACATTCAATATTTCTCATCGCCGTAACGTGGTTCATAATTCCATGCAAAGTCACACGACCGCAATTGATTAAAAATTGTACAATTTTTATTAATTTGACGTATGTGATGAGTATTCTGAAGGCGCAGGGGAATTCAATACTTTCACTTTCAGATGTTGTCACGCCATATAAATGTTAAAGGAAACAATATGTGGAAATTATATTTTAGGTTTTTATCAGTAATTTTCTCATTAAACGAGTGTCCAGCTGACACGGCAAGTGAGATAATCACTACATTATGGTTTTCAAAAGGAAAAGAAACGTAATTTATTAAAAAAAAAAGAAAAGCAGATTGCTTAAATATTAACTTAAAAAAAAAAAAGAAAACTCATTTTTCAGAAAAAGGAAAATATCGCTCACCATCACCATTAGATAGAGAATATATCATTATCTTATAACAAATTCTTGGAAATTCACCACTTGTCGTAATGCACCAGCGCGAACATACACATGCTTCATTTTCGGTTTACTTCTCATTTTGGATTTGCGGTATTTATTTAATTACACTTGTTTTGCTGTTTTCTTCATACACTACAAAATTTTCTATTTACTCTTTATTTAGATCAAGTAGTTCTTCATTGTTCTTGCTTATGTTTCTCTTTATGAAATACTTACTTTGGGGTATATGTGGCAGATTCTCTTTTTCTCAGTTATATGGATATTGAAATTTTTTTTAAAAACACATTTTTCTTTTGGTTTCGGTTTTTATTTTAAATTAAAACAAGACATTTTTTCTTTTTTTCTTTCTTTCTCATTTATTTACATCTACACGCACACTACATAATTAAACGCAACAAAAAAAAAAAAAAAAACATTTTTTTTATCAAAAAATAAACCAACTTCTGTTTTAAATCCTGATGTTGTTGTGTTGCTCAACTTTCGTAACAATAAAAATATTCACTTATGTAAAAAAAAAAAAAAAAAAAAAAAAAAATGAATGATAATAATAATATACTCATCACCAAATCTCCACAAAATCAAACAATTGACGTGAAATTGCTTTGGTAACGGTATCTGTAAATGTTTATATTTCTATGTTTTTTCTTTTATGTAACTTTCACGTTTTAAAACTCATCTCACTCTCATGAATGTGATTTTTTGATAATTCAACTAACTCCATATTATGCTATTAACCCTCCTCTCTGTCTTATTCATTGTACTATTTGTTGTGAAACTAAAACGTGCCTAACCTAAAATAAACGTGCTTACTTTTGCGACCTCTACTATATAAAATTGCCTTCTTCTTTGTCGGGTTTTTGGGATTGCTTGTAATATTATCGAATTTGCCGTATGATCCATACATATATATATAAATTTATACAAACTTGTCTTGTGAATCTGGTCAACTTAAACTATGGGATTTCTCCTTTACCTTAAAAAAAACTTTACTCTTTCTCTATCTCTTCATGGTTCTGTCTCTGTTTTATACGGCCGTTTTTTATATGTATATGCGTTCCTGTGTTTGGTTCAATAATGTAGGCATGTCGCGAACGCGTCAAAAACTTACATTCGAAAATATGCGCACGTAATGAACGCATTAAACTGATGGTTCATCGCGGTACGCCAGAACAAGCAATACTAGAATTATAGGTTCCACTTTAATATTGCCACCGTCCCTTTTTACTTAAGAAGATAACTTAAAGTACTTATAAGAGCAGCTACCGCTATAAGAAAAGAAGGAATCAATATCTGCCAGTATTGCTTAAGTTAATGTGGAAATATTTTGAAAAGCTGAGACGACAACCATAGTCTCTTTGCTTCTCGCGATTTTATTATAGTTGTTAAAGTTAACTATATTTTAGTTTTTTATTTCTATTTTAACGTTTTAACTAATAATAAAATTTTAAAAGCGATTTTTTTGAAATCCCCATAACTTGTTACATAGTTTTATTTTATATTCTTCCCAGTGTAGTAGTAACGATTTATAGGTCTTAGATCAGGTCCTACATAAAACAAAACAAAAAAAAAAACACCTTAATCACAAAATATGAAAAACCTAACGTTTTTTGGAAAATTTCCAATTTTACCGTTTTTATTAAAACGCCAGGCTCTGCGTTCTTCGATCGATGAGATGCAACAAAGCTACGACGTGATAGCTGCTTTATCCTATACCTTGGATCCACATTCAGTGGTCACTACTTCATCGGCTGTCTCAATGATGTTGAAGCCTTCAATGTTGGGCTTAACCTATGCCGAAGTTTTATCCGGCAATACCAGTCCTGAAATACATGTAAAGCCCAAAAAGTTGATGACACAAAATTATGATGATAAACCGTTAGAATTGACTTTGACTCAAGCGGCCACCATTTCACAGGGCATTGATGGTCAAAATGTTAGACCTAAGCGAAAAGATTCAAAAGAAGAATTAAGCGAGTTACATAGTGCACATAGGGTCGTTAGCACTACCACTCATCAGACTCCAGAGTCTGTGGTTACACTAGAAAATAACCAAGAATCTGTTGTCACATTTAAAAAAGAAAGTCTTGGCAGTTATGAAGATATTCCTAACACAGCGCCGTCGTCAGTTGTAACACAAGACATCCTTATAAAAGAGCGTAAAGAAAAACACATGAACGTTCCAAAAGAACAAAAAAGGGGACGCTCCCCTAGACGTAAGGCACAGCATCCGCATGTTGAAAATGTGACCGCGGCTATTGTTGAAGATATTCCAGATCAAATTGTTGCACGATCACCAACAAGTAATAAAACATTATACTTGTCTGCAACTAGTGCCATTACCGATAGAACAAGATCTCAATCTCCAATATGGGTCCCTGGTTCCACCTCTTATGCCGAAGTTCTTCGTGGCATTGAATTGGAAAGATTAAGACAGCAAAATCTGCAAACAGCAAATGAAGTTATCCTAGTACCACAAGCGGCGCTGGCGCCAAAATTGGTACATAGCCATATGACGAACAAAGCGAGTAAATTCTATTCAAATGTTCAATCAGAGGCTTCAGCATCAATAGTATCGTATCCGTCGGACTCTCCTACGCCGGTATATGAACAACATGTTAGCCCTACGTCTAGTTCCGCATATATTAGATCTTATAAAAATGACACTCCCATGACAGCCGAAGAAATACAAGCAACATATTTGCAACCAGACCCTCAGCTTTATCAGAGTATGTACGAAAATTTAGCCGATAGCGGTCAATGGAGTTATGTCACGCAAACTACAACACCAGCTGTTGTGCAATCTACGCAGGCAAATAATTTTTATGAACAAATGATGCAGGTTCAATATACGCAAGGCACTGCTTTACAAAACCAACCAACATATACTGCTGGTTACCAATATCAGTCAAATGCTCCGCAATATCAAATGATAACTGGTTATTATCAGGCTATTCCTGCTCAAGCGCAAACACAAATCTATGCACCTGCTGAGTCTACGCCTATGTATTACAGTCCAGAAACATCGCAGACCTACAACCAGCAGTACCAAGACGAAACAAATGTAAACCTTTACGAAGATGAAGATACTACTGAAAAATCTCAACGAGCAAATATTCAAACCGTTTATGAGGTCAGTGCAGGTTCTAGTGAAAAGTCTTTAGATATGACAACGACCGTATTAGCAACTAGTGCCCCATCAACACCTTCTCTGGTGCAGCAAATCCAGGATCAGACTGAATCTATGACGTTGTATGAGCCTCAAGAAATTGCAGTGGAAGAACCTGTAACGGATATAACATTTGGTCAGTTCGATGTCAATGAAATTGAAAGCATACCGGTTGAAAACTCACCAATACATTGTGAAAATGATGTTCTTGATACTTATGAAACGACATCTGAAAGAGACAAAGAAGACGACAATAATTTATACCTGCAAGAAGAAACGATATGTGTGGGCGAAAGTGTAGAACAAGCTCAAATTACTGAACAGAAAGAAGGCCAGATTGCCGGTAGTACATATGCCGAAGTCTTGTTTGGCTTGAAGAATGATAAACATTTCCAGCCATCCAGTCAAAAGATACACGTAAACGTTACCACTTCATCCCCCTTAAATCACAAGATCAAAATTGAAACGATTTCATCAACGACCGCAATAACGACTAGTAATAAACAGCGATTCAAGTCTCCCGCTACTGAGCACCACAAAACAGTTTCGCGCAGAGACGACCAAATAAAGTCATCTAGATCGCAGACCGGAGACAAACGAAAACCCATAAGAGAGGAAAAGGTTGCTTTTGAACAGCAAAAAGATTCAATTGTTTATGGAGAGACCTCAGTGGAATCACATACTCCAATATTGTCCGCTGCGGAAACAATTGATAAGCAGCCAGCCACGAAAATCAAGCAGACTAAAGCAAAGAAATCAAAAAAGGCAAAGGATCCCCTGGAGAGAAATTGTCTTGAAGATTTTCTAAATAATGAGAAACAATTTTCAAGCGCCTCATTTACAAAATCTGATAAAAAATTCGAAAAGAAAGAGAAGAAAGAACTAAGAAAACGCAAATCAAGCGAAGCAATTGAAGATAATCCTTTAAAGAAATTAGAAAAAACTGATGAAATTGAAGGAAAAATTTACCAGGAGGAAACACTAGCAACAACTACATTGAAAAAAGACAAAAAAGATAAGAAAAAGACGCAAAACGAAGAAAGTACTTCTCCAGTAATAAAATCTATTAAAGAAGAGCAGAATGCTTTCGTACCTGATCTTGACCAAACTGGTGGTGACACATTGAAAGCAGAAAATTCATCTAAAAGATCCAAGAGCAAAGCCAAGCAAAAAATACGTTCCAAGCCCAGCAATGAGAGCACAGAAAAATTATTAGCTACTGATGAAATAATTCCACAACGTATTGTGCTTGAAGAATTGAAAAAAGTAAGAGATGGTGAAGATAATACCGCTTCTTTGTCTGGCGAAAAGACAAACGAATTGTTAATTGGAAACGAAAAATCAAAGAAACGCTCTTTGAAGGATAAATCTACCGACAATACTTTAGTCGCCCTTGATCAACAACATAACGAGGCTAAGACTGATTTACTTCATTTTATTGAAGTGGAAAAGCCAACGGTGAAAACAATTCTGAACAAAAAAGAAAAAGTTAAGTCAAAAAAGATGGTCGGTGGTGACGTAGCGAAGTCAGTAGAGAATGACGTCAAGAAAGTTAAGAGAAAAGCTAAGCAAAAAATGGATGCCGCGCTCACCAGGGAGGTGGAGGAAGAAATTATAATTGTTGAAAGAACGAATCCTGCAATATCTTCGAATGAAGTTCCTGAAATAGTGGCCTCCCGTCAAAATTTTGAAAATGAATGGCTTTCTTATCTCGATGGAAACGATAGGACAGAGCAGGAAATAATGATTAGTGAAATATCTGAAGACTTAGACGCCAAGAATGACTTTAAAAATGTACAGGCTTCTTTGTGTGAGGGAATTATTTTAGGTGAGAGTGAGAAAACAGCGAATGTAATACAGGAAGATGAAAGGACCACCAGAAGGTTGAGCCAAGAAAGTCCGAAGAAAAGTTTCTCACCTCCTTTAGGTAAACCGCCTAAACATTCTTCAGTCGCTTCTATCTTCGCTGAAGTAACAGAAAATTTACGTGAGCCCATAGGAAAAGTAAAAGATATATATGTTTCACGTGAGCGAAAGCTGACAGATCAGGTGAGCGAGTCCAAGACTTTTGAACCAGCCAAAGATCATCTAATTACCACGGAAATAAGGAGAGTTCCCTTTGATGAGTCCAATCAACTGCAAAATCAACTATTTGCAGCACCGTTAGCAGAGTTTGCAAGCACACCAACTGTCTTACAAACACATGATGGGGAAGATCTTGGTACAATTGTATACGAAGAAATACTGATTATAACATGCACCAAAATCTTGGAAAAAGTCGTGACTTTCGGTTCTATACTTAACACAATTACTAAAACTTCTACCGTTACCAGAAGAACAGTAAAAAGTTTCATTAACGGTAGCGAGCAAATTTTGGATGAAAGCGTTGATGAAAGCGCTCCTCATGAATATGTTACCACTGAAAAACTAGATTCTACCGCACATCCAGGTGGTATTATAACGAAAACGGTAACAACTACTACAAGAAGAACGATTAAACGCAGAACAGAGAGTGGCAAAGAAATAACAGAAGTATTCATAAACGAGGAACCTCAAGCTATTACCGATTTCAACAAGGAAATAACATGTGAGACTCGCCAAGAACAAATGAAACCAGCACAGAGAGAATTCGAAGACTCAGTCAAAGGAAGTGCTTCGACAGATACGCAACAGGAAGCGAAGCGGAATGAAAAATTATTTGACGAAGAAACTACAGAAAGTATTAAAAAACATATTGCTCCAAAATCTCTATCAGAAGAGTCCCCAGAATTGAACAAACAGCTGGATGAAATATTCTCCGATTCGAATTTTGTTAAAGTCAAAACTTCTCGCACCCTTGAAATAATGCCCAATTGTACTGCTGAACTCGTTACAGGCGACAAGGATGACGGAGTAATTGAGGAATTAGCTGCTTTAGAATCTCAAGTCGCTCAAAAATTAAACCAATCTATCGACCCTAGTGAAGCTAATAGTGCTACCCTACAAGTATTACGTGGTGGTACAATTTCTCGAACTCTAACAACTTTAACGAAACGTCTACTGATTCGCGTCAATGAACGCGGAGAAGAAGTCATTGAAGAAATAATAGATGATGAACCGCAAATTGTGCAAGATATAACAGAACTACCAAGCGAGACAACACTTGTACACCCAGGTGACTTTGATGCGAATTTAACGTCTTCCCAAGTCATTCGTGGTGCTACCATTACTCGTACCTTGACGACCACAACTAAACATATTACTAAGCGTATTAATGAAAAAGGCGAAGAAGTAGTGGAAGAAGTATACGCCGATGAACCGTTGGTTCAGGAACAAGTAGACCAAGTACCCATGGAGACTAGTGAATTTTATTCCACTCCACTAAATAATGCTGATTTGAATACAACTTCCCGAATTATACAGGGAGGTACTATAACTCGAACTTTGACCACCACTACGAAACATGTTGTCAAGTACATAGATGAAGATGGACAAGAAATCGTTGAAGAAATAGGCGCCGATGAACCTGTTATTAGCCAAGAAATCACTATATTGCCTTCCATCTCACAAATTAGTTCAGAGAAAGAGGCTGAAACTTCTGCTGTAGAATTGGGACGAAGAGGTGCCATAACGAAGACTTTAACAACAATAACCAAGCGTATAGTAAAGCGCATTAACGAACAAGGAGAAGAAATTATTGAAGAAGTTGTAGGCGAAAAACCTGTCACCACTCAAGAAGTTACAGCGGTGCCTGTGGAAGCAGAAGTCTCTGATAAAGCTTTGAGTGAAAGCGGCATAACTAAAACCGTAACTACTATTACTAAACGCATTATGAAACGCAGCGACGGAAAGGGCGATATTGATGAAGCAACCGGTGAGCAAACTGAATGCGTCGAGGAACCCGATAAATTATATTACTGTCCACTGCAACCTTACGATGATGTCAAGGAAGAAGACTCTCATCAAACCGAATATACCAAAGAACCAACTTCATTTGAAAATAATGACGAACTGCTTAAGTCGCCACCTGTGGAAAAAATTACAGAGCCCCTGACTGTAACAAGTGCAACCATGTCAAGTCCAACGAAGGAAGTGAACGATGGTGAAGTAGTTAAAACAACCACTATTAAAACTACAAAGGTAGTGAAGAAAATCACGCAAGATGAAAAATCGGATAATGAAAAGGAATTAAAAGCAATCGAAGATCCAATTGCTTTAGAGGTATCGAAAGAAGTAAGTGACGACATTGCTTCGCAACGTCAATTAGAAATCCCATCGAAAGATGAAGATATATCTCTACAAGAGCGTATTGCTCAATTGCCCGAGAAACATGTCAATGAGCCTATAGGAGAAAGTGTTTTGAAAAAGGCCATAATACGCACTACCAAAATTGTTAAGAAGATAAGTCAAAAAAGCGACAGCGCAATAGTTTCTGCTGCGCAAGCTCCGCCAAACCTTCACGCGGTTAGCTCAGCTGACACGGCAATGGAAGATAGAGAATCTGAAAATGATAGTAAGGAGACAGGTGTGGTCAAAACTACAACTGTACGCACTACCAAAATTGTTAAGCGAAAACCTCAGATTAGCGAAATTGCAGAAGACACAGCCGTTGGCTATACAGATAATATTATAATGGATCAAGAACCGTCATCTGCAATTACTGAAGAGCCCAAAGAAGTAGTTTCCATGGCCAATCAAGTAGACGGGACTATTATGAAGACAACCACTATACGTACCATGAAAATAGTTAAAAAGGTTCCGCAAGATGACGACGTTATTCCGGAAGAAACAAATAAGCTGATACCGGTGCCAAGTATAGCAACGCAACAAACGTTCACTAACGAACCAGAAACTAACACAAAATCTACTATAGAACCATCACTTCCTATTGAAGGTAGTAATTTGAAGGGTGTAGAATTGACAAATGTAGAAGGTACTTTAACGAAGTCTGATCTAGAAACTATGACAACCACTTCTTTGACAAATACCAAAACCGTTCAAAATCAAGAAAATATAGAACAAGAACATAACATGAATTATCGTAGCATCTGTCAATCTGGACCGTTGCACAAAATAGAGCTTATTACACATAAAGAAAAATTCAAGACACCCGTTGTCAAAATACATTTAGAATTTCCCGAAGTAAGTCTACAAGTAACGGAAACCATTACAAAGAGTTTGAAGACCCCTGAGAGAATCAGCAGTACGGTTGAGCAGGCATTAGAAAATGAGCAAAAAACAGAACTCGGTATTAATAATCGTGAAGAAATTATTGAGAACTTAGAGGAAGCAACAGTCGAAAGGAAATCTGTAGAAAATGCTAGAGAAATTGAAAATGAAGTTTTGAGTACAAGCGATATGACACCTGAGGACCAAGAATTGTTTGAAGAAATTCAAAGAAAATTAAGTAAGAAGGATAAAAAGAAACGTCCCGCTATACCGGAAGAATTCCTTAAAGTCGAATCTTATAAAGAATCTTTATCAAAGTCACCATTACCTTTTGTCCAAACAACAAACAATTTAATCGCTGAAATGCAAAGTGTTGAAAGGACGATTGCTACACCTTCACCTTCTATAACAAAATCAGGTCCCCAAAACCAAGAAGAAGAGCAAGTTGACACTCGTATTCTTACTAATGAAATTGTTAATACTAAGCAAATTGAGCCTGTTAAATTTTCGGATGTCATGGTTAGCGCAATAAGCGAACTACAAACATCTGGAAAGCCTGCAACTAACTTGATTAACTTGTGTCCCTCTGCTTCATATTTTGAAATTCCCAAATATTATTTGCCACAATTATTCATAGTCGAACGCAATTATCACATATTAAAAAATCTTAGCACAAGTGCAATAGAAACCCAAATTGAAGATACAGCAATACCGTCGACAATAGCCGCAGCAACGGAAGCACAGCCGCATGTTAGAAGCTCTTCAGAAGAGACTTGTTATAATTTTGAAATTCCAAAATATGATTCAAAGGACATCAGTAGGGCCGAAAATGAAATGATATCTCTCTTTTCGTCAAGCGAAAGTGAAACTGAGAGTGTGTCTGAAAAAAGAGAAGAACAGAATAAGCAAGTTGTTCCTGACAAACCATATTCGGCACCTCTACAACCGTTCAAGGAAATTAAAAGTTCACCTAGACCCGACAAGGATTACGATAACCTAGAAGTTTCATTGCAAACTGATATTGAAATGGTGCTTGTTGAGCTTGAAGACAATCTCGAGAAAATTCCAGATGATAGTTACTACAACTTTGAGACGCCAAAGTATGATTCAATCGCTTTAAACAAAGCTGAAAACGAAATGGCAACTAACTTAGAGTCCGCTCAAGACATATCAGAATCCAAGCCGGCCGTCTCACTAAGCGAAAAACCAACTTCGCTTAGAAACGATTGTGCAGAAAGCAGCATTGCCATAGCGAAGGAAGAAATCATGATTCCAGACAAAGAACTAAAAGAAGAGCATTTAATGACAAACGAGCTTTCCTCTCCATCGCTTCAACCATCTAAATTACACACAGTCGTTTCGAAAACAGTGCAAGAAATCGACGTGCCTTTACGCGACACGCCACAGTTTAATTCCATTGCGCGTCAAAACTTAAATAAAGAAAAATCGAATGCTCAAAGTGAAATAACAGATCTAATCGAGAATAGGTCGAAGCCACTTCAAGTTCAGAAAAGAGAATTTGATGGAACCACCGATCATTATAAATTTGAATTTCCCAAGTATAATACGTTTGCCTTACAACAAGCTGAAGGAGAATTTGTTAAGCTGAACTATCTCGAAAAAGCTAATAACAATCTAAACGAAAGACCAAGTCCCCTCGAACAAGTAGTTAACATTGCAGGGAGAGAAAAGTTGGAAGTGGAGCAATCTACTTCAGAAAAGCCTCACGATACTATACAAAGATTAGCTCTGCAAGAAATTAACGTCATTAATAAGCAGGTAGAAGTGATAGAAATTTTAAAACAGGAGGATACAGAAAATTATATAAATTTTGAAATACCGAAATACGATATAAAGGCGTTCGAAAGATTAGAGAACAAAATATCCTCCACATTGCAGCAAATTGAAAATAAAGCAACCAAAATAGTCCAAGAAGAAAACGAGCATCAAATCGATATGATTCCGGAGAAACTCGCCATTGTGCCTAAGACCTCCACGACAATAGAGAAAGTTGTGTTAGATAATAATCATTTCAATTTTGACATACCAAAATATAACCGATTTGTTCTGAACAGAGCTGAAAAAGAGTTGTATCTCAATCAGTCTCGCGATTTTGATCTTACAAAACGCCCTACTACAGATATGCCAAATTGGAGACATCTAGTTGAGGAAACGAGAGAAAAACAATCACTCAGCGATATGTGTTCAATCGATGCAGGAATACGGGAGGAGGGAATCTTACAGGAATATCCATCAAAAATAGATAAAGAAATACCTCCACAATCTAGTGAGACATTTGTTACTTCTGATCGCTCATCAGCAGATGAATTGCAACACCAAGAACAACATCTCGAAAATGTCATTTACGATACCAAAAGAAAGATAGAACTTAGTGCAGCGTCAATACAAACAAGTGAGACTTTCTTAACCACTCAGCAAATCGAAGAGATTCATGAAAGTGGGGAGCCGAACGAGGCTGTTAACGAATTAAGTATGAAAAACAAGGAAAAACCGTCGAAATCTTTCTACGCTGGTTTGCCTATTGATGAAACTACCAGCGCTTGGATGGAAGTGTTTGATGAACCTATGGTATTTTCAGATGAAGACATGGACGAACCAGAACCATGTGCAATACCTTTGGAACAACGTGTTGCATTGGAGGAGGTATCCAGTTTGATTGGAAAAGATGAAGAAAATAATTTCGCTGTGACAGACCAAACCCCGTATAAAAAGGCTCAGTCCACAACCGAGCAAATTTCAAAAGAATCATCGGAAACGGATACAACTTACGCAATGTTCACGGATTTACCAGTGAATGATTCGGCGCAACCACGATCGTGGACTGAAGCGTCTAGTGATACGTCGATTTTGTCAAGAAATCACTCGCAAATGCAAGATGAGAAAGCCGTTATTGATACTTGGTCTAGTGTATTAGAAGATTCTGTCCCTAGTATTGCCACCATAGCATTAGGATCGAAATTGTCACCAAACGCTCCTGAATTCATGCCTTCACACATGCGGCCTTCTCATTTGGATCAAACTAATACTTTTCTAGCAAATGAAAAGTATTATAATGAGTTCGTACCTAAAAGCAAACAATCTAAAGACGGAGACTTGAAACAGAAACAGTTAAGCGAATTCAAAAAACGTCAGAAATCTTCAAAACGCTTACAAACTTCCAAAAATGTAAAATCTGATGAAGAAGGAAATGTTTTAGACTCAAGCGAAATTGTTGAAGAACCAGACAAGACGTGTAAGCTGCCTGAATCAATGAAAACTGAACAGGCTCCAGGCAGTGCTGAAGACCAGGAGAAATCGAGTGGAAACACTTATGCTTACGTTGTACAAAATAAAATAGAGCGAGAACGGGAAACATTGCCCTTCCACGACACAATTATTGTTACTGACAGTTTTGGGGTTTCCAGCAGTCAAGGAAACGGCAATATCCAAAAACAAAAACCAGCAGATGTATGTCACGACAAGTCTGAGCAAGACACGGTGACATGTAAGAAAACATCTCCGAATGAAGAGATCTCTACGATAGGTTCCGATAAATCTGAGCCGCAAACCACTGATAAGGATACTGAACAATCACTGCAATGTACTGAAGAACCTGCAGCAAGATTTTCATGGGCATCTTTGGTTCAGAAGCCTGGAGAATGGATTGATAATACTTTGACAAAAACTAAGTCTAAACTTGTCGCAACAGAAAAGAGAAGTCCTTCAGATTCCAAAGCAAAAAAGAAGGAAAAGAAATCTAAAGAGAAAAAATCTGAAAAACCCGTTAGTCCTGAAAAATCTCGCTCTCCTGAGAAAATGCCTGTTTTAACGTCGACAACCTCGGAAGAAGAGGACCATGCAGATGAAAAAGGGACAATAGCTGCGGAGCAATGCAAAAAAGAAGAGTTATTAAAAACTTCAGAAGATACCAAGTCAACTTCAAGTTGGGCAGCTTTAGTAAAACGTCCAGGAGAGTGGACAGATGAAGTTGCATCCCGAGCAAAATCACCGAAAGAATTAGTAACTCCAAAAGTTACAGAGGAAAATAAAGAATACAAACCGAACGTAAATAAGAAAAGATTAAATTCTAAAACTGATCAGCCGAAACAACAGCCAAAAGACGTGAGTGCAGTTGATAAAGAGAAAAGTCATTCTGGAAACCTTAAACTTCAAACAGAATCTCAAACTTTATTATCCGCTAATTCAAGAGACCCCAAACAATCAATTAAAGAGACAGGAGATGGTAGCCGTCCGAAGGTTGCTGACGACCCACACGTTGACACAGACGTTAATGACTTTTCATGGGCATCATTGGTTAAGAAACCGGGGGTGTGGATCGATGACTTAGTTTCCCGTAAAAAGTCGCCAGTTCATCTTCCAGCTGATATCAAAGGTGAAAAATCCTTGATTTCAACTAAGCATTCTGTTCAAAGAAAACTCAGGCCGCAAAGAAAACAGGAAAAAGAAGCAAATATTGAGGAGTTTTCACTAAAAATGGATCAAACATTTGATTCTTCTTCGCAACCAAAAACAGTTGAACAGACTGCCGTGGACATCAAGGAAGATGTGCAAGAAGACTGTAAGCCATTAACTTGGGCCAAAATTGCCAGTCAAATTGATTACATGACTGATACCGTGAAAATCAAGCCGCCTAAGGAGATGAAAATACCATTAATTGAACCTAACACCCCGTCTCCTAAAATCAAGAAGAAGAAAGATACTCCTAAAATAAAAGCTGCACTTGAGAAAGAGCAACCTGAGGAACAAGAAGAACGTTTGTCTAGTATTTCTAGTACTTTTTCACGTAAATTTACAGCTGACTTCATACAAGCAGAAAGAAATTATCAATTGCCAAGCACGTTTGTTAACATAAATAAAACTACGCCTGCGTCCAAGGACGAAGAAAGCAAATTTTCTTCTTGGGCTGAAATTGTTGATGAACCAATTGAAACAATGTCGTGGAAAGATATTGTTGATGAAGAATATGGTGATGAAGAGGAAGTTGAAATACTACTACCAGAAGCTGGCATGCAAATAACATCAGAAACACCTTCCCCCGGCACTGTTACAAGTGAAATCTCGAAGACAGAAAAGACTTCATGCGATGCACAGACAGATTTGGTTGATAACAGGAACCAAAATGCCGCTGCCACCATAATAGAAGAGATGGATCTTCACAAGAAGAGTATCACTGAAAGTGTTCCAGACCACTCTGGTCTTTTGGATGAAACTTCACTTCTGTCACTCAAAGAAATGGAACAAAAAAAACAAGTCGAAAAACAGGAGCTTGTTTTGAAAAAGTATTTAAAAATTGTGGCAGAAAGTTCGGAAGGTTGTAATACTGCTCTAACCGACCAAGGTTATATTCAGGATCGGGCAGTTGAACAATCGCTGAAGTCATCTAAAGTCGATCAGATGGAAGATATTATTCTAATACAAAACGATGAACAAGCATTTTCGGCGCATCCGAAACCAATTCTCCAAAATATTGCTAACATTGGTGAAAAACCGCAATGCGACTCGGATAACAAAACGAGTACTGAACCTATCATTACTGAGGAACTAATGTCGGGATGTTTGCCTGAAGAGACTGTACCTGAATTATTACGAACATGTTCAACTGAAGAACAAAACAAAGAAAATTTACCAAAAGACGTAGACGAAAATATATCAGCGATTCAATCTAACAGTCGGTCTGAGGATTTGATTATCACCCGCCAAGAACAAGTTGAGGAAAAATCGGTAGAAACAGAATTAGCCGACAAGCGTTCTGACACTGAATTACAAATTGAGTCTGCGATCGCTTGGAGCAATATTATGAATGCACCTTTAGCATACACAAATATCGGAGAGCAACATCCAATGTTACAAGGAGTTGTGCGAACTGAAACCGAAGTTAACAGTTCTGAAACCATACTTTCTGACGTAGAAACTTTTATTCTTGATCCGATCGTCTCAGACATTGCAAAGGAAAAGTTAGAAGGAGGGAGAAATATCCCATATGCTGGATTGCCCATTGATGAGTCTTCAAATGCCTGGATGAATATAGACGAATCGATGGCATTTTCCGATGATGAGGACATCGACAACAAAGATCTTCAAAATCAAGAGTTGCTGGAAGTATATAGCCCTGAACCCATTACCGCAAAAATAATTGGATCGGAAAGTGTTATTAAAGGAGAGAATAAGCCTTCATGTGTTACGTTGCCAGAACAAAAAGTTATTGTAGAATTTTCGGAAGAAACAAATAAACCACCTTCTGCCTATGCTGAAATGTCAGTAAATGAATCTACGATCGCAAATATTCCTGACGAATCTATGATTTTTTCGGATAAAGACGAACAGAAGGATGCACAGCTAGAACTAAATGAAGGAAACCAAGGTGAAAAGAAAATAATTGAAGGAGATTCCATTGGAGAAGAAGAAATTATTGCAGATTTTCCCCGTCAACATATAATAACGTTCGAAGAACAAACCAAATCAGATTACGCCGGCTTACCACTTGATGAATCTTCTAATGCCTGGATTAGTGTTCTAGATGAGCCAATAAATTTCTCTGACGATGAAAGTGAAGAAATCGAAGAGCCAAAATCCTCAGAGAATACAGAAAAACATGTTTATGACTATAAAGTTGAAAAGCCTTATCAAACTCAACTACAACCAATTGGTACAACGGTCAAAACTGTAGACGACAACGAAGAAATGTCTGACGCTGCTAATATCAACACGAGTTGTCAGGCATGGACACCTGTCGCGGTAGTTAATGCAACTTTGTCAACGCCGAATACCTTCGAAAAAAATCAAGAAACTGACATTGAAATAGTAACAGAAGATAATTATCCACTTACAAGCGAAACTGATAAATTGTCTTCTAGTCAGGATTCTCCGGCGGGCGGTGTTCCCATTCTAAGCGCCTTCGAATTGCCACAACTCGATGTGCCTTGGCGGGAAATTACCAAAGTAGAAGCCGGGGTAGAATTTGGTCCATCTCAGAAAGAACTGTTTTGCCAGAGATCTAATAAAACGTACGCCAGTTATGCTGATATTTTGAAACAGACTACAGCATTCATCGATTTGGAAAAAAATGATACTCCAAAGGCAGAAACCTTAGAAAAACAAGGAGAACCTCAAAGTGTTGAAAAAGAAATTCATCAAACAGACGATATTCTGGCGGAATTGGAGGAAATGATGAATGGTAAAAAGAAGAAACCAAAAAAAGTGAAAAGATCGATGTCAGAAGTGACAAAGAGTGAAAAAATAACAGAACAAATGGAATCTAAAGCGGAAGATATTTGTTCATCTTCAGCTGCTCCTAGTTTAAAAAAGAAAAGAAAGAAGAAGTTGAAAAAACAAGAACAACCAGCAAAAGAAAGCGATTTCAAGGAATGCGCCGCTTCAATAGAAATCACGTGCACTGGACAAACAGCTACCACAGGCACAATGTCATGGTCTGATATCGTCAGCCAAAAAGTTGAAGATTTTATAATTAGTGATCAACACGATGTCTCAGCAAAAGAAAAATTTGAAAAACATAGTGATAAAAACCTCCCTGTGGCACGAATGGATAAGAAAAGTGAAGAAACTATCACTTCATCTAAAAACAAAAAGTCGAAAACGCGACGAACCAAAAAGAACATGCTTGAAGAGACATTTAAATTGTCTGATATAACACAATCGCAATTTGAGCGTTCGCCAGAGTACGCACCTAAGAAAGAGTTTTCGGAAAATATAAGTCTCGAGAAATCTTGGGCTGTTCTTACGGATGAGGAGCAGTACAATGAAGAAGTTCCTTCCAATACTGAAAATCAGTTAACTTCCACTACTTATGACGCAATAAATGCGGGAGCAGAGCAAGCTAAGGATACTTCATGGTCAGATGTGTTGAGGAAAGATAATTGTAAAATTTCTCCAGAAGCTGTAGCCAAACAAACTTTTGCTTTTATAAAAGCGGAGATCAAACAATCAGCTAACAGTTCGAACATGCAGAAAGTAAATGAAAAATCGCCGGAATCATCACATTCGGAGAAAACTGAAAGATCTTGCGATGATAAAACTTTTAAGCAGTCGGGGAGCTTAGCGTTAACAAGTGATGGAGCAGAGGGTGAATCGGATGAGATTGTAAAGCCAGTGGAAATGGTAGAAATGGCCAAAGAATTTGATAGATGCGAATATGTGGACTTTGATGGGCGCAAAAATGTTATGAAGGTTGCTCCTGAGGCTTCACAAAAGTATACGGAAACTATGACTTTTGACCGATCGGAAAATGAATCAGTTATTAAAAAATGGTCTGACATAGTCTTAGAAGAGGATATGGAAGCGTCGGATAAAGGTAAACTCTCAGAAGCAGAAATTTCGATCACACCAATGCAACCTTTAAACAGCTTAGAAATCTTAGAACCCGAAAATGAAACTTCGTTCCGAACCGAGGAGAAAGACAAGCAAAAAATGAAGACAATTGAGATGGAAATTGAAAAAACAGTATCAGAAATTTCTGATTTAAGCCATTCATTTGGTAATACTGAAAGAAAAGAAGAAGAAACTTTTATTACAGAATGTGAAGATGCTGATCTGACGCTGGCGATTTGTAAAAAGAGCACAAGTTTACCTGTACCTAATATTAAGTCGTGGTCAGATGTACTGAAAGAGAATATTGAAAAGCCATTTGCTTCCTCTGCTGCCCCACAACTTGTTGACATGAAACAAAAAACTATTGATTTTGTTCAGCAAGAGCAAGCACTGTTGAAAGCAAGCATGAAAAATGACAATACTAGAACGCCGAAGCAATTACAAGATGCCCGTTTTCATGAAGAAGAGCACTTGTCTCACTTGCGGCCTGCACCCGTTAAAAGTCCTTCCTTAAGCCGCGAAACTTCAGAAGAATCTATGCATTCTCCATCTATCCCTGCTTTTAAGAAAGACGACATTGAAAAGATAGCAACAATTTCGGAAAAATTGTCTGCAACAGATGCGAAAGATCAACGCGATGCAAAGAAAAAGCAGACGAAGCGTAAGAAGCAGCGAAGTAAGTCACCTATTGAAGAGAAGCAAGGATTAGATGCAATTAATGAAACAAACAGAAATCTCACAGATGCACCTAAGATCGAGGCTGTTAAATTTGAATTGCCAGTACCGGCACTGTCTCTAATGTCTTGGTCTGCGATATTAAGAAACAACATGCCCTCAAATCAAGATGAAAAGAAATTACAAGAAACCACTGATGGTAAGCAAAAAACGCTCGAATTCATTGAAAACGAAGCAATCTCCGTTGAAGTTGACGCAATACAAGATGAGAACGTCGAAAATGTGGAACTCGAAAAGTCTAATGAATTCGCTACTAATAATATAGGTATGGAGAAAATTCTAGAATTCGAAAACTTGCAATGCTCGGATGATATCAATAAATCGAACATCTATCTCGAAGTTACAGGCAAAATACCAGAGTCAACGACCGCGAACTTGCCTGAAAAAAAGAAAAAGAAATCTAAAAAAGTTCGAACCGGTAAGCTTGCAAAAGACGAAGAAGTTGAAGCTGGTGCAATGTCTCTTCCCAAGAAAGCGTTGGATATATCTGATACAATATCGACTTCGCAGCCGTCTTCATGGTCCTTGTCTGAGACTTACGCCGAAGTGGTGAAAAAATCTGGTATGTCTGATAGTAGGGGTAAAGCACCTTATGTAGCAGATGACGCTGCAAGGTCTCCATCGCCAGAAATAGTCGAGATCGCTGCGAAAACTAGTTACGAGGAAGGATTTGCAGGTGAACTAAAAGAAACCCCGAGAGTCTTGGAGGAAAGTGATTATGAAACTATTAACGAAAGCACGACAACCCCAGAAGAAATAAAATTACCTTATGTGTATGTACCGAAAGGCTCTTTTGGAATCGAAGACACCTTAAGTACGCAAGAGTCGTCAATATCGTGGAAAGATCTGGTTGATTCAGATATAGAATGCGATACTGCGGACCAGTATGTGCCATTGAATGTAAGCCGCGTAGGATTGGAATCTGCCACTGCGAAAGACGAAGGTGTACAGAATATTCCCTCTATTACTTCAACAACAATTTCCTGTCAGGAAAACAAAACAAATTCTGTATTAACTCAATGGCAATTTATAAGTTCGCGATCGCGTTCCAATTCTCCACGTTCAAGATCTCGTTCTAATCAATCCCGTAAACAAAAGAAATTAGAAAGAAGCAAGTTGCAAACAGAGCTGAGCGAATCGTCAAGTAATGGACCGCATAAAAAGATTGATTTGCTAAATTCACGGACTGTTGAAGTTGGTTGGTCCTCTACTGATACTGATGATTTAAATAAAGACGAACGCTTTAGAGAAGAGCATGTTAAGAACGTAAAACTTGATGCTACTGAAATTACGGTAAGTGGACCTCTCCCCATGAGCACTACAAATGCAGCACAGGTTAGCATATCTTGGGCTGCAATTGCTGCTCAAAATGTTCCACAGCCTGCGCAAAAGATACGTGTTCTTAATGAAACAGAATGCGCATTATATCCGGATAAAGTGGTTGACGATGCAGGAGAACTTAAATCATTGGTGCCAATTAATTTAGAAGTAGAGAGGAAAGAAAAGAAACCCAAACACAAATCTAAGAGAAAATCAGTTGAACTCGAATCCTCATATAAAAACATCAGCGAAGAGGCTGTAAAAGATTTCAAACCGATAGTTTCCGGGGTACGAATCTCAGGCGAAGAACTGCCAATGCTGAATGTTACAGTTACTCCGTTAGTAGCAAGCGAAAAGGCGGCATCAGCAAAGAAGATTCCAGTCGAAGCAAGCGGCATTCCGACTGTCGTAGAAAATTCTCCTATTGTCGTTGCCGAAGACTTTGCCTCTGTAATATCCCCATCGGTAGGTTTTGGAGAAACCGTTGCTCAAATGCCGAAAACAATGCAACTATCAATAAGTGACAACCAAGAAACACGGGACACTACTTCATCTGAACAGGAAACAATGCACGACAATGTCGATAAAATAGTAAAAATAACCGAATCGACAATAGAAGTTATTCAGGACAAGCCGCATAATATTGTTTCTCAGTTAATGGTAGGTGAAGATACAGCGCATGCAACGGAGTCTCGTGTCGAGGAAAGCTTTGCTCCTGCGATGTGTTCAGAGCTGGCTGTTAAAGGATATGTTGCTCAAATACCAGAAACAATTCAACCATTAATAGAAGGCGCAGAGGAAAAACCCACTGGAGATGTAGTGCCTGCAACGGAATATCGCGCCGAGGAAAGCGTAATTCCGGCTGTCGTAGAAAGTTCTCCTGTTGTCGTTGCCGAAGACTTTGCCTCTGTGATGTCTTCATATGCGGGTGTTGGCGGAATTATTGCTCAAATGCCGGAAATGATCCAACCCTCAACAGACGGTAACCAAGAACAACTGGAAATTACGTTACATGAGCAGAAAACAATGCACGGCGATATCCACCAAATTTCAGAAATAATGCAATTGACAACAGAATCCAAAGAAGGAAATCTACATGAAATTGCAACAAAAGAAAAAGTTTGCGATTGTAAAGTGGAAACTCAAAGTAACGAATGTGGGGAGCAAAATATTCAAGTTGTAAAGAAAGTAAAACGCGACAAAGACTTGGAAGTTGTAAATTCAACATTAATTCAACAGTTTATAGAAGCGGAGAGAAATTCTGTTATATGCTCGGTTCCTGCTGCTATTCCGCGCACAGCAAAAGCAACTTCTAGAGAAGCTGAAGAGCAAATTGCTGTTCCAAAAAAGTCGTTCTGCTCTAAAGAGTCGTCGCTTGAACGATCCATGGCAGCGGAGGGAAAAGTTTCGGTTTGTGAGATTACTTTGGAAGCGGGACAAGAGAAGCTCATCCCTAAAAAAGCCGAGGAATTTGAACTGCCTGAACTTCCAACTACTGACGGTACGACAAAACTTGCAAAGTTTACTTCTGGCACAGTTCCAGTTATAGAGAAGCGAAAAATTGTTCAAAATGATGAAGTCAGAGGAGATCTTGCAAAAGACTGCAGTGAATCTGCAATAATAGTTTCAGATGAAAAATCCATCAATCCAGAACTTGATGATCAGTATAACAAGTATAACAAGTTGAATGAAAATGAGCTAAAGGAACTGAAATTGGAAGAGTTAAAGCAAAATTTACGTCAAGAGTTAAGAGAATATACGCTTGATAAGTCCAAAATAAATGAACATGCAATAGACGAGTCTCGCCCTAAGGCAACGATCGATAAAATTTGTGATAATTGTGCTATTGTTCAAGAACATTCTTGGGATAGTAGTACGCAAGATTTGCTTGCTCATAATTTGCATTTAGAAAGCCAGTCCAACTTGAGACCTTTTCACAGTTTCCAAGAAAGACAATTAGTCTTATTATCTTCCCGCGAAATCACGGTATTAGAAGATCATATAGCTTCCCAGAACCAGTCATCAAAAATGGTAGAAACTGCTTTAAGAAATGTAGCTAGTAATTCATATGCACTTGATGAGCTCCAGCCTAAAGCAACAGTTGCTGAAGCTCTTGCTAATTGTATGATTATCCAAATGCATCCTTCGGATGATATTACGCAAGACTTGCTTGCTCATAATTTGCATTTAGAAAATCAATCTGACTTAAAGCCCTCTTATAGCTCCCAGGAACGACAATTAGTTTTGTTATCTTCTTGCGAGCTTAGTGAATCAAAACATCGTATAACTTCTCAGTCCAGTATAACTTTAAATCAGCTCCCAAAAAGCGAAGAAATTGCCTTAAATGAGATTGCTAGCGATGATGATAAGTTGTGGCTCAAAAATTTGGAAAGAGATGATTTTAGTAAGCTTGCTTCTGACGATAGGAAAAATTTGCTTAAAAGCGAAGTTTCCCTTGCAGTGATAAGAACATTGGAAGCAAAAGACGAAGTTACAAAGCGAATAGAAACAAATGTTCCGGACGATTTTAAAACGTCAAAAGTTGTTTCAGAATCTGGCAAGGATATGTTGAAACTAAATTTGTTTAAGGATAGTTGGTGTGAGATCGAATCTAAAGCAGTTGAAAAAGAGGGGGTTTATGAACAGCAAAAGGTAAATGTAAAAGAATTCAAAGAAGTTAAATTTAGGAATTTAGAAGGCAAAGACTATCAGAGTGACGACGATGACGACGATGATGATGATGATAACGATGAGGGCGATAAGCCGAATATTTTCTCAGACACACAAAAGTATCAAGACGATGATGACCGGGATCCAGGTAGCGACAGTAGTGGTTGTGTAACGTCAAGTCCTAAACCTGATCAACTCACCGGTAGTTATCAAAGAAGCTGCTCTACACAATATATGTCAACTGATTTACCAGGTGGATTAGGTCACTGGCGAGATCAGAGTACGTATTTAGCTTTAGAAGAGCACGGCAAAGTCGAAGAGGCCTTAGAGCCAGGTGAGGTTGAAGCTTCGAAAAAACTTGCTGAAATAGAATTAACAGCTATTGCTATCACCCCGTTAATTGAGTCCCAAAACTTAAGTTTTCCTGAACCAACTAACATGTCACATTCAATCCCTGAATCCCATATTAATAACTCGTCAAGTCTCAATCTTGTAAGTAATACAACCCCCTTAGCTAGTGTTGCCACTATTACTACCAAATTGTCCAATGGGGTCGTTCAGGCAACAACAGCGATTCAAGGAACAGCGGCGGTCCATGAGGCAGTATCAACAATGAAAACATCGGTAGTTGCTAACGTATTGCCTACTCTAGAAGCAACAAATGAAACGGCAGAATCACCTGCGACAGTGGAAACAATAACAACGACAACAACAAGCACCACAGCTGCAGAAGACGGATCACATGTAGTTACTGTACCAGTTGCAATCTCGACTCAAAGTTTGCCCATCAATTGCACTCAAACGACTACTACCACAACTACAGTAACCGATGAACTATTACAGCCTAATAAGGTAATTACAGCGCAAGATCCTGCTTTAATTAGACGCACCACAACCACCACCACAGTAACAACAACAGGTAGATCTGGCGACGGATTAGACAATGATCATCAAGTTTTACAACAACGCCAATCGATGCAGAAGGTGATAATTGAGTTGAGCATACGTACATTACTAATCTTAATAATAATCGCTTTTTTGTGTGGTTTTGGTTTGTGTTTTTGGCTTTTAAATGAGTTAAATTGGTGTAGTAGGCCTCATTGAAAGCTTCGGTCACGCCAATTTACCTTGGACTTAAACTGTGACGTCATACAAGTACTTTTCCGATAATTACTCTTTTATTAGTGTACTCATTGCATTTTCTCTACTCTCTCTCTCTCTCCCTCTCTTTCTTTTTTACTTATGTGTGTGTGTGTGCACTTTATAATTATTTGTCTGATAGAAAACAGTTTTCATAATAATGCTTGTAAAGCATTCTCGATTGTTTCACTTAAAAGCCAAAAACAATAAAATTTATTTTTATACATTTTAAACATAACATTATTAATATTCATTATACTAAAGTTGAAGATAATAATAATAATTCATTGTATTAAAGTTGAAGAAAAAAATTGAAGAAGAAAAACATCCATGAATCCTCTTCAAAACAAAACTATAGATACTATAATAATAATAATATTAATAATAGTTTTTGCACTTTTAACTAATTAGTTTATAACTTGCTTGTACTTACTTTTGTTATTGTTTTCTCTTTTTTTTTCGCGGCATTTAATTTTTTATGTTTAATTTCAATTTGAATTGCATTTTATTTAAATTTGTTGCTGACATAATATTCATTTTTTTGCAATATTTTGCTTCAGTCTTTAGTCAGTAAAAGAAAAAAGACTTCTCTAGCATCTACCTGCTACTACTAGTAAGCTTAGTGTTCCCTTAATTAATTGTAGTTATGTAGTTATATTATTCATTTTACATATTCTCTTAAGTTTCTCTAAGTTAAACAGACAAGAAGGAACAAATTTCAAATAAAACTAACAAAAAAAACAAAACAAAAAAAAAGAACATTAAAACAATCCAAGCATGATGTTTACTTAATGAATTGTGTAGAAAATAAAAGTAGAATGTAGTGATATTTAAAATTTCTGTTGTGCGTGCTATGCAGATTAACAAACAACGTATCCAAAAATTATAAATTGCGTAGTTTCTCTATAATGCTGAACCATACATATGTACATCTCACATCCACCCTTTAACCACGTACTTAATAATACCATAATTTTATCGCAATCAATATATACGAAGTCGTTCGTCTAACCGTAATTGTATTAATTTACAATAGTTTCTTTACCTTGTTCTCTCTTGCTAAAAAAACTATGAGATAAATTGCCTATAATTTTACCGCATATACAATATACTATTTACACTTCAGTTCACTCCACCTCACATCATTCACCGTATAGTGGGCATGTTCAATTTTCAACACACTTTACTTTATGTGTGTATGTAACTAATTTATTATAGTTTAACAAGAACTACAAAAAAATATTTTCAAAAATTTATTATTGCAACTTAAACGGGTTCAATGCCTGGCATCGTCGTTTTGCGCGGCCATGTGCATCAATGCTAAAGAGATTTTGCATATTTTGTACATTTAAAAATAGTTTCTTTCGTGAAATAATTTCCTCTTTTTCTTTTTTTCTTTTCTCTTAAGAAACAACCCGAAAAAAACTACTCTATTGCAATACATTTTTGCTGATCTCGTTTTTCGGAATTATCTCCTCTTTTTTATTTTTTTTTCCTTATTCAAGATTCAAACGAATAGTATTGTGCCAGTTCGCGAACGTTAAAGTCGCAAAATTCGAATTTTTGAAAAAATAATCGATGAAATCATTAAATATTTATAAAAGAAAAATTTAGTTAGTCACCTATAGTTTTGTAAGATGTGATCATCGTTGAAAAGTGGAATAAAAGGAAAACTTAAAATATTTTCCATGAAAAATAATTGACGAAATCGTTAAATATTTATGGGCGAACATTTAAATTACAAGTAGTTCTATGAAACGTAAAATATATTATTATGATAAAATCATAAAAAATCAGTTATTCAAAATAATATTTCAATCTTTTAGCTTAAAAAAGAAAAAGATAGTCAAACATAGTTAATGCATAGGATCTATTTTTATTTTTTATTTTTTTCATTTTGAATTCAGCAAAGTAGTTATATTTTTCATATTTTCGAGAGCAAAGAACACAATCAGCTTTCGATTGCCACATTGTAATCTAAACATTGTAATCTAAAGAAAGCTATATTCGTAATGAGCGTATGGCCTCATATTCGGTCTCATCTCGATCCGAATCGCTCTGCCTTTCTCAAGCGATGACGTCACCATATAGGATCATTAAAGCCGTTATTAATTTCGATTGTTAAAATCATTCTGAGGTGTTTGTGCAAATAATCAAACCTTTTGCTAACAAGCTAGACTACAATAATCTCTTTACCATAGCCAAATGCATTTTCCTAGCCCACCTTAGATTATACTGACCCTTCAAAATATGTTTCTTGTAACGTCTCTCTTTGTGCCGGCCAAATATTTGCCGAATATCCTTTACCAAAAATTACCGAACCCTTGAGAGGGTGCTTGACTGTTTCAAAAAAAAAATATGATTGCCAGAACTTGCTTTTCCGTCCGAGCGCACATGGTTTTTGATACGTGGATTCTGCTTATGAGTAATTGACCGCAGTATTCTGCTAACTTATTATTTTGGACCGATGAATGAGAAATCAATAGATTTTTCTTACATTCTTTACAGCATAGGAAGCATAAGTGAAACTCTTCCTAATAAGTGCGCGTAACGTAATCAGCATAGGATTTACCTGGAAAATAGAAAACGGAAACTTGAAATCTATAAGAGAGTCTTCATAAGTACTATGTAATTTAATCAGTCGATTTACCTCAAAAGTGGAAAACAAAAGTAAAACTTCATACACATATTTAGATGAAAGGTTTTTATATACATATATATATATATATATATGACACTTAATCGGCACCGATTTACCTGAAAAAAAGAAAACGGAAAATTTCTTTCTGTCTTTATGGACATATCAAGCCTATCTCCAATCACCCACCCTCGCTAAAAGCAAAAATTATATATATATAGCAATTTATTTGACAGAAAGTTTCTATGGCCATCTAAAAGCCCAATGCCCGCATAAAAAGGAAACTATAATCCACATCCAATCTATGCCAGTAGTCGAATTGAAAACTAATAGAGATACTTCCCAATGTCATCATCTCTGAATGCTTTGAGTAAAAGTACTTTTCTTTCTTGATCGAAATTAACAAAAGATTATGCAATTTTGTATATGGTCTGTCGGTTGCAAATTTACGCCACAAAACGAATATAATTTTTTCTTTGTTTTTTACTTTTTTGGCTTTCTTAGCTGTCGCGCGCGAATAACGTCTATCTTCAGTCATAATCCTAGTGTGTACACCCAAAACATATATATACAATTTCAATTTTCTCTCGTAATCTTTGCAACAAAGAGAATTTTAGTGGCTAAGATATTGCTCTACTACCGAGGATAATAAGAAGACCAAGCTTGTAAATAATCTCTAGATATTACAACGTGTAGTAGATCGAAGGTTTGCAAAAGCATGAGCAGACAATGCAAAAAGAGAGGTCTTTCTCTCTTTCTGGTTTCTGTCGATAATATTCTTTTAAAAAGAGCAATTTGGTCAGCTGTAAGGATTTATTATTTAATTAATATAATTTCTTTAAATAACATTTGGCTGATTAATAATATAAAGTGCCGATTTGACTTTAGCTGATCTCTGCCGTACGTTGCTTTGCCTCCGATATCGATTTATAGTAATTAATAAAGAAAAGCAAACAATGAGTTCACGAATGATGTCATCGGCAATCAATAAGCCGTTCGTATCGTAGTATTACAGCATAGAATTGCTTATATGACATTAATATACTTTATGAGAGAGACAATCAAGAAGATTTTAGCAGGAGAAGTTAAGATATGTAGGGAATCGAAGACAGATTAAAAAACAGAGGTCAGTCTCATCATCTTTCATTAATCCAGGGTTCATGCGATTCATAGTTTACATACGCTCCGAATTTTTCGTTTAAAGTGAATAACCTCGCCCCCTAAGCTTATTTTTAATATAGTTTGCATATTATTGATTAAAAAAGTTGCAATTTTGATTATATTTGAAGCCATCTTCAACCTTTTAGATATTGTGGTGTTCACGGAAGCATTTTTACGATATATATAGGATATTAGGTGCAAAATTCCTATTAAGATTAATATGAGTTTACTAATGCGAAATTCGGAATCTAGGTACCCTTGTTTTCTCATCTGAGTTCTGCTTGCTAAGAAAAAAAATTAACTCATGAACCTAACCTAACTTAACTAACTGATGAAATCTCAAAATTTATTCATTAGCAACGACTAATTTTAGAAATGATCCTTACCAGTTCACAAGCACGAAAAAACTAAATATTTCTACGTACCTTAACTATCTAAAAGTAAAAGTTCAGAATAAAAACGGTCTATTGCCAACTTTGCGAACGAGTGTGGTGACGGATAGAATTCTATAATCCTTCCAACACGAGTTTCACCTCCTTCCATATGCATTTACAATTATTTTCTACCAATCCTAGTCATAGTAAGTTGATGTCCACAATATTTTATTTCTTTTCTACTATTGATGGGTTAACAAAATAACGTGTTTGCTTAATGTGTGAAGTATTTCCGAAAGAGATTTTTAAAAAAAATGAAACATGTTTATTTAAACTATCCCGTTGTCTTAACGTTCAGTTAGTTACTAATAAGTAAGAAAAGTTATTGAAAAATTATTATGTTTAATATTTTATATATATATAAAAATATCTTATTGAATTCTTTTAACACATTTAAGTGAGTATATACGTACGCTTTAGGTATAAAAGTCGATGGTTCGGTTCAAGTTTTCTGCCTGCGTATTATTTTTTCTTTACATGCATTTCTTCATATACATTCTATCCAATTTTGGGTCTTTTTGTAATTTGTTCTTCTTTCCCACTTAAAATGATGAATGCTGGAGCTTGGATTGAGACTCTTTTTAGAAACTTTCTTATCCACTCATTTACCCTATCCGTTAAATCTGTTTCTCTTAACTTCAAACTTTAATTTTCCCTTAAAACAACTACGAATTTTTCATGCTTTCAAAATTTCCAAAATCTTTAATATTTGTATATAAGAGATCTATAGTTATATAATAGTATATAGTACCTACAACAACTTAGAACACCAATTACTAAGAAGTAATTGCCTGTAAATATTTGCATGCTTTTCTTCAATACTTTCATATATCAATTCTGTTTGCCTTGAATGTTCATATATTTCAAAAGAGAAATTTAGAATAAAATTTTTTTCTTCAACATATCTTTTTATAATTATATGTCGTGGCTTTCAATTTAATGTACATACCTAAATCTAAATATATGCAAATATATTTATTTCCAAAAATCTTGTGGTTTCATATAAAATGTTCCTTTTCTTATTCCTATCTATGAAAATATTGTTAAAAAACTTTTAATTAATTTCTTGAATATATATAAACTGCCACCTGTTCCAATCCCCCATTAATGAATATAGGAATTAATAAATCAAGAAGTTGATGAATTACTGCAATCGCTAACGACGGTCGAAGGAGCCATAGCCTATTTACCGCAAGACAGTTTAGATGGTATGCTGCAGGGTTTAAAGGTAAGTAATGTTAAAAAAAAAAAAATAATAAAAAAGTTGTTTCTAACCAGTTATGAAAGCAAAAATTATGCCTATATAATACACATTGTTTGTCTTACCTAACAAAGAAACAATAGAAAAAACCACAACATCCACAAAGAATTTCTTTAGCAAAAAGTGTTTAATTTTATTTGTTTATTAAAAACAAAAATCCGCCACTAAATCATAAAACATCTTCAAAACACCACATAGTTGTACACCTCCGATTATTCGATTTTTCTTAGAAATGTCGTGCGGAGTAGGCGTGTTAGTTCGTCTTTGCAAAAAGAATTTGAATTTTTTTATTATATATGTATATACAGTTCATATATATTTCAATATGAAATTAAAACTTGAATTTCTTGCAATCATTACACACACAGTTGATCCAAGAAAATCTAGAATATCAAGGAAAGGAGGCACAAAGATTAAAATCAATTAGTCAAACTCTACCTACCGATCCACCTACGGAACGTTTATTACGCGAGATTATCGACCGTATCGAATTATTGTTAAGACGTACGCAGCAAGGCATTACCATGATAGCGGTAAGTATTTTTTTTTTTTTAATCTTAGCACGTTTTTATAATTGCTGTTCTTCATTTAAACATATAGGGCGCTGTCCATGCTCAAAAGAAACGTAAGCAAGAACTTGAAGAATATCAGATGCATTTAACGCAGATTGAATCTTGGATTCAAGCTGTGGCCGAAGAACTTAAAAGCTTAGAAATAACGGAAGAAGGTTCAAACGACGAACATATACTACGTGGGCAGGTAGAGAGAAGTCAAAATTTGCTACGTACCCTTAAGGAAAGACAGCAATCGTTGGAGGACTTGGTAGATAAAACTAAGCCATTGTTAACACATGAAGATGTAGCTTCACTTGCCAACAATTTAATTGAACAACTGCAATATGTGATAACTATATTACGTGAACAAATTACAATAGCAACAAAAAAAATTTACACAATTGAAACAATTATTGTGGATTTAAAAAAAGCTAAACAAGAAGATGAGCTGCGTAAACGTATTCAAACTGAATCACTAATTATGCCAACTCAGGCATCGGTTGAATCAAATGCCAGCACAGTCGATTCGAGTTCCATGCCCGAAGAGGAAATTGAACCTGTTAATTATGCAGCGGTAGAAACTCAAACTTCTCTCAGCTTAGACAAACAGCAATCGCCTGCTGAAGCTTATACAGTTGAGGCCCAAACTAGTTTTCCTTTGATAGAATCAAAGCCACCAAATGTAGAGACGGCTGACATCGCTATGCAAACTCAGAAAGAGCGTAAGCCTACAGAAAATATTACAGTGACTCAAATTGTGCAGCAAGGTGAAGAAACGATTAAAATTGAAGCAGCGCCTAATGCAGACATGTGTGATCAACCACCAAATGTTGAAATTGAAGCAAGATATCATAGGAAACCTCAGGGAGATATAGATCGCACGACAGAACTCGTCCTTAAGAATGTACCGCAAGTGTTCGAAACGACATTTGTAGAACCTGACGAAACCACAACTGAAGTTGTCGTGGGGCCAGATGGTACTAAACATATTATCTTAAAGAAGGTTACACGCACTCGTCAGCGAATCGTACAACAACAACACTTGAGTTCTTTTCCTACCATTTCTCATGTTGACTCTAAGGTGTTACCCGAGACGATCAATCTTGAAAGTGTTCAGCCAGCAGCACTTCCTGGCGGTACATTGCCCGAAGAAGTGATCGTGGAAGAATTTGAGGGCGCCCCTACAATGGAAGAATATGAAGAATATCATAGTCCGAATGTTCTGGTTCATGGTGTTCCATTGCACGAAGGTGATGTTGCATACGTGGATTCTCGTAATTTGCAGCACATGCAGATCGTACCAACCGAAGAAGTAACCCACGGTAGTATACGAGCAGTTGTACAACAAGTTACGCGAAAAGTCATACGTAAAACTCGGAAAATTATTAAAAGGGTTGTAATTATTGATGGCAAAGAACACGTTACTGAAGAAATACTGGAGGAGCCTGAAGAAGTTGAAGTAACCGAAGAAGAAATTGCTCCTCATGTCAATGTGAACATTGTGCGAACTATAAATGGTCGGATTGTAAGCCAAGACGAATTCGATCGCATTTCCACAGAGCCAGGCGTAACCATCCAGGAATTGCCAATAGATGTTATGCAGCCAGATGCTCAACAACAAACGCCTCAACAGGTATTTGATATTGATTCTTCTAAGTTTATTACCACAACAATTACAACAACACAGCAAACACAACAGCCAACTACCACAAAAACAGCAACAGTAATAGAAACTACAGAAAGTCCAACTAAAGCACCCGTAGAATTTGTTGACATGCCGGCACGTAAAGTAGTTGTTGAGCAAGTTATTGACACCGTAGACAACAATACGCCTGATGATGCTGTCGTCTCTACTTCTATTAATACTGTTACAGTTACGAAAATAAACCAACAAGCGCAGCAGAAGGGCGAACAATCAGTGACTGAAAATATTAAGGGTATATGGCCGATTCAACAACCTGTACAAACAACAGATGTAGTGACACCAATGATTGAACATGCTAAGGATATTTGCTCTGTTCAGCAACATCTGGAATCCATAGATACAGTACAACCATTGACTGAAGGTATTAAGGATATATGGTCGCTGCAACAACCTCTACAACCCACAGATATAGAACAAACAATGGCTGAAGATATTAAGGATATATGGTCGATTCAAGAACCTCTACAACCCACAAATATAGACCAAGCAATGGTTGAAGGTGTTAAGAATATTTGCTCTGTTCAGCAACATATGGAGCCCACAGATACAGTACAACCATTGAGTGAAGTTATTAACGATATATGGTCGATTCAACAACCTTTACAGCCCACAGATATAGAACAAGCAATGACTGAAGATATTAAGGACTTATGGTCGATTCAACAACCTTTACAACCCACAAATATAGAACAAACAATGTTTGAAGATATTACCAATATATGGCCGATTCAACAACATCTACAATCCACAGATACAGAACAACCAATGATTCAAGATATTAGGGATATTTGGCCTATTCAACATCACCTACAACCCACAGATATAGAATTTAATTTGTCTACTGAACCAGCGATTGAGCCGTTAACACCCACCGGAGAAGCAACTGCCAACATATGGCCTTTAAATTTAGATACTGGTCATCCCGTATGTTTAGAAAGTTATCAGTACGATAGAAAGATTTCACCAGAAATTCAAGAGAAATCCTTTACACAATCTCCTCTTTCGAAAAAACTTCCCGAATTTACAGATTTACAAGAACACGCAAACCTTGAAGATACTAAGGGAATAATGTCACAAGAGGAAAGCACACCTTTAACGCCAGTTGGTAAAGTCAGCATTACTATCGTGAAAGCTTTTGTGGAGCCCTTGCAACCAGAAACGACGCAACGTACAGAACCCTACGTTCAACCTGAGAGAAGTAAAACGCCAGAAGTAGTAGTGGAAGAAGAACCGGCCGAAAGTCAAATGGAAATCGCCGTGGTAGAGCGAGAAGATATAGAGGAAATAAAAGAACTTGAATACATTGAAGCAAAAAAACTTGAAAAATGTGCCGACCCTAGTTCAAATAATATATTAATGCAAGCATTGCCAAGTGACGAAGCGAAATTTGAGAAAATAAAAGATTCCAAGCAGACACTGCTAGAATTCTTAGAGAAGGAGAAATATATAAAAATTCCACACACTGCTAAGGAGTATAGCACTGACATAACTCCGACTCAAGAGGAGAGCGCAATACAACAAAGCGTAAATTTCGAAACACCCGCGCGACCATTTAAAGGAGATCATGACGATAGATATGAAAAAGATGATCAAACCAAAATATCTGAAATTAAAGAACCTCCCCTTGATACGCCTAGCATATCAGCTCCTGTAGTTTCTGCGAAAACTCAAAAACCGAGTGAACAAATTAGCATAACTATTGTAAAATCACGTGTGAAATCTCTAACATCTGAAAGTCAGAACGAAAATATTGTGGAAATTATGGATGGACAGGAGTTCCCACAGCAATCTGCTCCGCAGGCTGCAGAAACCCCGAAATTGTTGAAAACTTCAAACGAAGAGTTGGTGCAATATATGGCCGCAGAAAAGTACGCGAAACCTACAATTGCAGATGAAGAAAAGCTAACAATTATCGATCGAACAATAACTTCAACAATAGAAGAGCCTCTTGAAGAAGTTGAAATTAAAAAATCTGTCGAAGAACATCCCTTGACTCTTAGATCATTGAACGATTTGAAGCAAACAACTTCTGAGCCAGTGGAAATAGAACCGACAAAACCTTTTATAAAATCGGTAATTGAAACTGTAGAAGCAGCTGGGCCATCAAAAAAAGTGGAAAAAGGGCGAAAACTGGAAAAGGCTAAAATTCAACAAGAAGCTCCGAGTCCAGATAAAATTGTTGAGATAAAGAAGAGTGTTCCACAAACACCAGAGAGAACCACTGTGAAAATCGGTAATTTTGTGGTCGAAACTTCGGAACCTGAAATAACCGCCATTGTTTCCGAAATCGTGGAGTCGTCAGGTAAAGAATCTAATTTGATTTTAGAAACTCCAACGCCACATGAAGGTGCGGAAGACAGCACTAGGAAGATAACCGCGTTAACTGACGCCGGAATTCCAGAAGCCTTGGCGCCTGGGGATAATCAAAGTGTTTCGGAAGGTGACCAATCGAGTGTTCCCACAGATGCCTTCAGTATCAGTGAACAATCAGTACCAACGGGTACTTTACAGGACACTTCTGTTATTGAAAATACATTTTTGATCGTACAACCCAAAAAAGAGATTCCTCACGATATTAAAGCAACAACGCAACTATTCATAGCTGGTGAAGCAGTGGCCTCCCCCGTCAGCATTATTGCTCCCTCGATTGAAGGCAATGGCGCTAGTGTTCTTAAAATGGTTATGTCTGAGCAACCAAGACCCAATGATATGAACAAAGTTACTATGACTATTGTGGAAACGAGTGCAATTGTGCCAGAAATACCTGAGACTCAAGAGAATATTAAACGAAGTCGAAAGAAGAAGAAAAGAAAAGATCCTACGTCCACATCTTCTACAGAGGAATCTTTGAAAGAAGAGTATGCTAAGGATTTTGAAATTCAACCTGAAGAAAAAACGACGAGCGGAGATTTAAAAGAAGAAAAATACATTGACGTTGAGGAAACAATGCCGGTAACTTCGCCATCTGAAATTGAATCGCCGCATGAAACTGGTTACGAACCAGAGGAGAAAACGGCTGATGACGTCCATGATATAAAGGAAGGCAAAAAGAAACGTCGTAAAAAGAAGAAACAAATTGAAAAGGTTCAACCTGATGATGAGACTATTCCGTCTGTGTCGCCTGAGTATTCAGATGTTTCTAAGCCGTCATCACAAAGCATTGATTCTGAAGATAAACTGCATGAAGAAATGATAGTCGAGATAAGTGCTGAAAGTGTGGCCTCTAGCATTACCATTGATAGACCTGTAAAAATAATTGAGGAGGGTGTCATTTCTCCACAGATATTAGAAACGTCAAAGCCAACGCATAAAGAAGTTGTCATTCCAGTTGAAATCGTAGAACTTTCGTTTGTGCGCGATGAACAACAGCAAACTACGCCTCGCGAAAAACTTATTCAAAAGGATGAGGTGCCAGAAATTACTGAATCTGAAAAGACTTTCAAAGAAGTGCAAACCGAGTCTTTACAGTCTGTACCCGACATTGAGCTAGAAGACAGATCTTTACAAACTACTCCTGAAATTTTACCGGAAATTAAGGAAACAGAATCGCAAACTACGCCTGTAACACTAAGTGACACACTAATTCAAACTGAGGCGTTAGAAGTACATTTACCTCTCGACTATCAAAGAGACACGGTTGAGCAGTCTAGCGAAGGAGTTCAAACGGACGACTTTGTGGCTGCAATCTTACCTGAAATAAAAAATACATACAGTCAAACTAATGTGACATCAACGGTGGAAAAAGAATTGCAAACAAGCCCAAAGGAGTCCCCGCGTGGACCTGATGCTTCCATCAAGGACATTGTTGATCCTTTAGTAAAGGAATTCATTGCAGATGTTACCATAGAATTACCCCCCCAAGATGTCGAAACCAGAGAAAGTGCCACTTTAACTGAAGAATCACTTTCTCTCGTATTTGAACCAAAGATTGAAAAATTGCATACCGAAGATGATAAACCGAAGGAACAGCGTGATCAGCAAACATCGACGGTTGAATTTGTTTTTGGGTCTCATAGAGACACACAAACATCACCTAGGGAGGAAACTGTGGTTCCCTCATTGGAGCAAACAATTTCTCTCGAACCTACTTCAATGGAGGAATCTTCAATCACTATTTCAGAACCCTACAATTTTGAAGTGCAGACAACAATTATTATACCGGCCGATTCTGATACGTCTGAAACTCTACCTAAAGTCTATGAACATACCGAAATGGTAGAAATACCAACATTAGGCAAAAAATATAAAACGAAATCTGAATTTGTCGAACAAATTCTACCTGAATTGAACGTGCATGTAGAATTCGATGAAGAAAGAGAATCTGAACCAAAGGTTTCAGTACATCCAATAAAAGGCGAAACTTTTACACTTGCCGAAGTTCCGCAATTGGTTGAGTTACAGATCGCTAAAACAATAATTGGTGATGAGATTGCTGATTTGCCCGTGCAAATTCGACAACCTGGTAAAACCAGTCTAACCACAACACAAAGTTCGAAATCACGTTCAAGACCAACTTCGACTGTTACAATTGAAGAAGTTACTTCACCGATAGAGGAAGTGGTGGTACCAATAACACCTGGACCTGATGAAGAAATCACGCCAACAAATGAGCAAAGTATTTGGATGAATAGTGCGGCAATTCGTTTACCCAAAGAGCGAACTGATAAAGAGTCATCTCGAGATTTGATAACGTCGGAAAAACTTATCCGATCAATTCCAGATCAACAACAGAATATAATAACCATTCAGCAACCAAATAATTGGCATCAAACACAAAAGACAATCGGCGAACGTGTCAAACAACTTAAGGAATCTGAAACACATCAAACTCCTTTGAGCAATATTATGCATTTAGTTACACTGTCGCAACAAATCAAGGAAGCTCCTACGGAGCAGAGAATAAGAGTTGTCAATGAAAAGCTTGAGGAATTAGATAAAGCTGTAAGAGGTGGTAATGGGGCTGCTGTCCAAGCAGTGGTCGTAACTGTCATAGAAGAAATATCAACTTGGCTGGAAACTATTGAATATCGTGTTTACCTTATAAGACAGCAAGCAAGCGAAGGTCCCTCAGAAAGAAAATTGCAACATTACGCCGAACTTAACGAAGAACTCACAACAATTGACCATAATGTAATGCAATTGGAGGAACAATTTGGCAAATCGAAATTTGTTGAGCCCGAAATCCAGCAATGCTTGGTAACGCTAAAAACGCATATCGATGCCGTTGGCGAAAAAACACATGATAATCAGGTTCAAGATGTAAAGGATTTGGAAAAATGGAATCATTTTATTGTGTTGGTACATCAAATAGTAACTTTGCTGGACGACTTACAGGAACGTTACGAAATTATAGTAAGTCAAGATGGATCCTTACAAAGCAAACTAAAAGCTTTCGACGAGTTAGAATCGGAAAATAACGGAGCTTTGGCAGAAATCTCGCAACTTGTTATGGATGCCCGATCGTTCCAACGTGATTTCCCTAGCAAAAAGATACCGCAAGATATTTATAATGCTCACGAAGTATGCCTAAATCTCAATAACAATGTGATGGCGGAAAGGGATCGTTTACTGCAACTTCAGGCGCTGGCCGACGAGTATGAACAAACTTTGCAAGAATTCACGAATATAACTGTCCTAGCTGATAAACTGGTCGACAGTCCAATAATTACGAACAGTTTAGAGCAATTAAACAATGAAGTACAAAAACATCGCAAATTCTTTGTTAATCTAAGTCACTGCCGCGCCATGTTAGAGTCACTAGAAGAAAATATTGACAGTGAGACAAGGGAAAAACATTCGACTTTGCATAAAGATCTTTACAATCGTGCCACGGTGTTGTTGGACAAAGCGTCTGAGCGGTCATCTAAACTAGTGCAAGCTGCCTCTAGATGGACTGTTCTAGAAAAGGGTATGAAAGATGAATTGCAATGGTTACAGGTTGCTCAACAACGTGTGCCTGACTTGTCAGCAGTAACATCTGCTGATTATGAGCAATACACGATACTGTATCAGTCACTAAGCCAAGATATATCTCAACATTATGTAAAAATGACGCAACTTTCGAATATCGCCAACAAATTACAAGATTTAATACAAGCTCCCAATCTAGTCGAAGAAACCAACGAAGCTTTAATTGTTTTGCTAAAATTACGCGAAGAAGTTGCCGTATATTTGCATCGCTTGCTGCTCTTTAAAGATATTTGGACTCAATATGTCGCTCAGACTGACAAAATGGAAATATTTGTACGTCAGAGTGAAAAAGAACTTAAAAATATACAAATCCCCGAATATCCACTAGAGCAGCCAATTGAGCATATGCGTCAGTTTTGGGAAATAAAAGCGCAATTTGAGATGCACAATAACATACGTACCGAAGCAGGTCAAAGTTTTGAAAAGTCGTTGCAAATAATACCCTTAGCGGATGAAATGCTACAAAGGCAATTTCATGCTCAACTAGAGGATCGTTGCAATGCAGTGGCCGACAGTATTGAAAGTATACAAAACCAAATTATGAGCACTTTGGCCTCAGAGGATGTAGCACCCGAGGACAAACTAAAGTTAGTTGAACGTGAATTGCAAGAAATCTATTTAACCATGACCAATATGAAAGGAGTGATTAAAAATGAAGAAGAACTTTGCTTATACATCGAACGTATCCAGGTGTTGAACACAAGAGTGGGCTTCATTGGTAATGAATTAGGCCGTATAGGCTTGCAGGAGCCCGCTTTTGAACCGGAAAAAGTAGGAGAATTATTCGCTTTATCCCATAAAATTACGACACAAATCGCCGATGAACTTGAAAGTGCTTCCGTCCTCAGACAACAATTGCAGAGTATACATGAAGGTACTTCGAATCTGCGTAAGCGTCAAGCAAAATTATCGGTAATATTGGACGAATGTGAAGGTGCAGAAAAGCTAAGCAACGAAGCAATTGAAAAGGCTTTGCAAGATTGCCAAGGCGTTGCTGAAGAATTAATAACTGTTTGGCAAGAGATAATGCGCTTACGGCAAATGCTACATACTCTACCCATGCACTTAAAAATGTCTCTATCACCGGTGAAATTAGAACGTGACATCTCTCAATTACAAGACGATCATGCGTTCCTAGAGAGTAAATGTACCAATATAACGACAATACTACGCAATCGTTTGACCATGTGGCTACGCTATGAACGTCAGCTAGAAATGGTGCATAATTCAGTTCAGGAAACAGATTTTATGATGGAATTGCTTAAAGTACATGGCCAAATTGATTATGAACGATTACGAAAGGCTACTGAACGTTTGGAGGTAAGTGAAACGAATTAAATAAAATTTCAAAATTATTGAATTTACTTATGGTATGCACGTATCTCTTCTCCGACCTATGGCAATAATCAGTTCATATAATACCTCATTGCCTAAAATACGTTTCCATTCTGACATTACGTGACAATACTGTTGACAGGTCCATATGATTTCTGCTCTCTGAAAGAAGTGTATCAAAATTGTATAACATTCCGAGCATTGATTTACAAGTTTCAAGTCTTCTGTTATAATACCAGTAGCAGAAATTCAAAAATGCAGAAAATTTTCTAAAGTTTCAATTAAACGTGTTTAGAATGTTTTATGCTCCAGTTGTGTGTATGTATGTATGTGTGTGTGTGTGTGTGTGTGTGTGTGTATGAGAGAGAGAGAGAGAAAGCAAGAGAGAAACGACGAGGCCATAAAACATTTATGATAAGTAAAAAGCCGGCCAATGAAATGTTTAGTTAGTTACTTGAGTTAGTTAGCACATTTGAAACCCTATAAGTAGCCAATGGCCAACACTACACGTAAATAAAGTAATTGTTAGTCAGTCAGTCGCTTATATACTCATGCTCCCCGTACTCCAACGAAAGCATTGCAGATATTATCAAACCGTATTACATTTCACTTACTTTGATATTTGGAATGTACGCCGGGTGCTGAAGGGGTTTCTGAGATTTGGCCGCATACACAGCACAGCGCAGCGCATTACCGCAATTCATGTGTTGTGCGAAAATGTGCGGAAATTACATCCATCATCAACAGTAAAGTGAAGAAATGAGAAAATGAGTGTGCGTGCGATAAGTAGGTTTTTATGTAAGAGAAGTATAAGAGTTTATTTTGTATTGGATTAGTAGAGGTCTGCTTTAGTAAATGCAAAGCTTTCGAACAAATCGGACGTTATACTTTTTAATCGTTCAATTCTATTAAAACAAAAAAAAGCGAAACATTTGTTTAAAAAAAATCTTCTCTATATCTCCCCTTTTTTAATGAAAACTAGGGCCTCGCTGATGACTTACAAAATCGCGAGTCTTTGCTAGACGATTTGCAATCATCCGCGAAGCCATTAATCGAAACATGTGATCTTAATATTGTTGAACAAATCGAATCTGCGGTTCAAGAGGCTGTATTAGCTTGGAATGATACAACGGACAACTTACAGAATTTATGTACACGCTATCAGCGTGCTGTGGAATTATGGCATAAATATCGCAACGCCTCTGATCAAGTGAAAAACTTCATTGAACAACAAATGGATACGGCAAAGTCCTTGAAACAGCAACCCTTGGATTCTATGCAACATGCCAAGGTAAGCTTTAGTGAAACAAAAAAGAAAGTTGTATTTTACAAAAAATGAAAGAAAAGTTTCGCCAACCGTTTGCGGGTGCAATTAAAACGTGAATTTCATATGTTGAATGTTTTGTCTTCGTAACTGGTGGACTCTTATCGCACAGTGTTTTGTGGTTAAACGTAAGCAAAAAAAAAAAAAAATTAAATAAATAAATAAAAAAAGAGTAATCGGATGCGTTATCTTTGCTGCTAAAACCAAGCATAAGTGTTTACAATGTTCGAAAATGTCTGAAAAATTGTTGCTCACATTCCGATAATAAAATTTTTATAACAACAGTGATGATTAAAAAAAGCGCTTGGAAGTAAAAGAAAGATTCAATTTCAAATCTTTTTTGAAACTTCCGAGAGAAACTTGCATTTTTTTATCCACCGAAAAATAGAACAAAGAGAAAAATTACTAAGTAGTGAGAAAGTAGTAGAAAGTAGTTTCTTTTTGTACCGAGTAACAATTTTTAAGACCCAAATATCAAATACCATATACCGAAATCTTTACATAATTCGAAACGATCAAGTTACTTTAGCGCAAGAATTTACTTCTTTAGGATAACTACATTACAATAATAGTAATAGCTTTTAAGAGTAGTTACTTGCCTGGCTAGCCGAGTAGGCACAGGGTGTCGACTACCGACTCAATGGTCGTAAGTTCAAATCTCACGAGCGGTAGAGTTTTCAATAAAGGGCTTAGCTTCTTTCTAACACTGAATAAATTCATTATAATAACAATAAAGTCGCCAAAGCTTTCTTATAAAGCCCATAATCTAAGGCTTGTCTTGATCTGGACGCTCATCGAAATCATCGAATGATCACCCACTATGAAGCCAGAGATATTAGAAAATCGTCATTAAAATTTATAGCAATAATCAAATAAAGGCTGTATATACATTGAATTTCATTGAATGAATGGGGCACAAGATATCAATAGGATTTTTTTTGTTATATTGTAAGTATCGTTCCATGAGCTATTTGATGTAAGGTGATTTCAGGTTAAGGGGTCTGTCAAAATTTTTGTAGAAATTTGCCAATTTTTAGGCACTTTACGAAATAAATCTGAATCTCTTTCGTAAGATGGATTATGTGGCCACATCCACCTATTTCTTGTTCGATTGGGTTGTCGATTTATTTGTTTCTGTTACATATTTATATAAAGTGTTAGATCAATCTAGATTATCGCTTGCAATGTTTATTACGCTTATTTTCGAATACGGTAGACAATTGTAAAGTAGTACCAAGCTTTCGATTCAGCTTACTTTTTCATTTATTGCACGCGTAAATTGTGCGGCAATCGACGACAAAAGTTTATACTGTGCAAGAATAAGCATTTGCTTCAAAAGCGTGATTGTTACAACCGAAAAGGCAAATCTACTATACTTACTTATAATCTTTGGCAACGCTTGTAAACAAAGTCTTCTTTATTTTAATACCGTTTTAGAGTAATTGTTTGACGGACGACATATATGTACTTAAAGCTATTGATATTTCTTTGCTAGTAATAACATATGTATAAATATATATATATATATATATATATATATATTCTATTCATTCATGCTATTTACTACTGCCATATTGGCATAGCATTCGATTCATAATTCATTGTGACATTATTAATAATTAACGACAACAGTAACTCATGCATATGTATACGTATACATATATATAATATGCAAATGCTTTTGTTGACTTTTGAGAGGTTTATACCCTCGTTCGGCTTGGTCACTTTTCTATTTAATAAAATCGATAATATTTCAATTAAACTTTACAGTAAAAAAAGAAAAAGAAATGAGAACAACGCGACCGTTACAAGACTAAGCTTTTAAATATAGCTACGTTTTGTGTCCTAAATAGAAAACAAAAAATTAAAAAATATAAAATAAAAAAAAAAAAATAAAAATTTGTGAAGAGAACATTTCCCGTTTTGCGTGTGCTTTGCCAACAATATATAACGAACTGTAGCAAAAAAAAAAAGAATAAATAAATAAAAAAGAAAATAGAACTTTCACTTTTCTTTCTAAATAAATATATTCTAACATAGACGACAGACAATTACGCCAAACGCTAAAATTAGCTGGCGAGTGGTCGTGTTGTTGCCTTTTTGTAAAATAATTTCTAATTAAGTTCTCTTCCTGTTTTTTGTCGAATAACTTATTCGCTCGCCATAGGTGTGCGAAGGCAATTTGATCGCTCAGAACGATCAGAAACTATTTGAATTGCGGGATATTGTAACGAAGATTGCCGCCGACATTGGTTTAGATGCCTCGAATTTAATGCAAGGCGAATTGGAAGACTTAGGTCAACGTTTGGAAAACTGCAAAGAGACCATAACAACATTAGCCAATGTAGCTGAGACACAAGAACGTGAACGCAAAGAAATTGAACGTAATTGCTCGGAAGCGAAAACCTATCTTAACAATGTACAGCAGGTAAGCAAAAGAGTCATCATTTTATTTGATTATAGTATATAGACGAGAAACTTATTCATAATAACATATATAATTGGCTATAAAAAGCATTGAAAATTTGTTTGTGTTTTTGGAATATCAGGAGCCTAAAGAAATAAATAAAGTTGTTCAATTGTAAAAGTTAGCGGTTGATACGCTTTTTCTACCTCTCCAAGTTTGGGATCTTTTTTTTTTTTTGCCTTTTTGTTAGAAATTATCGAAAGTGTTAATATTATGGTATTGATTTGTCAGTCAGAGTCAGTGGTAGGTGGAGGTGCAGTTACCTTAAAAATATTGTTTTTTCAAAGGAAATTCCCAAACACTGCCGTAGTCTGCCGAAATAGTTTGAATTTAAATCTAATAATTAAAAGCTGTTTAGCAGTAGTTCTATTTTCCTAGCAAAAGAAAAAAAAAAAAAAAAGAAAAAAACTTTTTTCTAGCCTGACGTCCGTGCCTTGCAGAAAAGTAATGCAAAAGAACTTTAACTCATCCTAGGGCGAATTTTAAATCTTTTCTAATGCCTAGTCTCGATTTGATTAACGTTTACATGAAAAATTTCATTTTCAAAAAAGAACTTGTGCTGCCTTATTATTGTGTTATATTGTACTTTGTTTTTAATAACGGGATGAGGTCATTGCCAGTTACATGCAATAAATAGCAAAGGGTTAGAAATTACAATACATACAGGAAGCTACTATACATTCATTATTATGTTCGATATAACTTATGTCTATAATAGTTTGTGTGTGCCCTCTTGAATGGTTGAATTATTATTACAGACTTTTGCAAAGTTTTTTTATGTTTTAAATGAATAATTATTTCCAAAAAACCACACATACACATACTCGTAATGTAATTAGAGAGAATAATTTTAATATTATTTTACCTCTACTTCGTACAGGATTTAACGCGTCCGGCGCAAACGGCAAAAGACAGTGAGGAACAACTGAATGTGTTACGTTCTCATTTACAAACGTTGGCTCGCACTGAGGAACAATTGAAAGAATTGCGTGAACGCAACCTGGATGGAAGCATAACGAATGGCAGTACTGATTATAATGATGATTCCGCCATTGTTGATGTCCTTGAGTTGTGGCAAAAGGTATTTCAAGATACTTTCCAGGAATACCACCGGCTATCGTCGCGTTTGGTACGAACACAGAATAGTGCCGAAGCTTTGCGTTTATGGCGCCAGTACTTACAGCATGTGCAATCCTTCCTATCATCAGCCATTCCGGAGGATTACAGTGCCCTAAAAGAGCAGCAACATTTATGCGAGATTCATCAAAGTCTCTTGATGTCACAGCAAAATGTTTTGTCGTCAACACAATCGGAAAGTGAGCAGGAAGCGGAGCCAGAGATTAACGAGCAATTTAAGCAACTCACAAATTTGCATAACGAGACCTTGGCTCGTATTACGCAACGCAATGGCGAATTGGAAAGGCGTATGAGCATTTGGCATAATTATCGATCAGAATTGTCGGAGTTGCTCGAATGGCTGAAGGAGCGTGAAAAAGATCGTTCAGCTTTACAATTGCGCTATATTCACTTGAAACGTTTACCACGTTTACAGCAACGGCTGGGTAACTTATTAGATCAAATACCGGTTGGGGAGCAACTATGCGCTAAAATTAGAAATCAGCAAGATGAATTGTTCAAATTTTGTGACGATGCCTTGGCCACCTCGGTACGCATGGAGCAGGCTAGCGTTACTCAGCGGATAAATAATTTGAAAGCGGCCTTGCAAACTTGGTCCGATTTTCTACAGAAAATCAAACATCTTGAAGAACAATACGAACAGAAGGTCGGTCAGACGCAAGCGGATTTATCGCAATCTCAACGTTTAGTATTAAAGACTGAAGAATCCCTGCCTACCAGTTCACAAGATATACAAGAATGTCTGAATACGTTGCGTTCACAAAGGATGCAGTTGGCAAGTCTCTCATCGCAACTGGAAAATCTTAACGTTTTGCAAGAAGAACTTAAGGAATGCATAAGTCCGCATGATATGAAATCTATACGTCAGACAATTTGGATTTTATGGCAACAACACGCAGATGTCGATTATGAACTTTCGACTCTTATCAATAGCATAGAAGAGCGTTTAATGCTACTTACGAATTTTAATAATCGATATGATCGCATATCTAAGTGGTTAGGAATGTTAGTAGAACGCTTGGAGAAATCTTCTGACATCTCAGCTATAGCCAATCCCGAAGAAGCAGCCAAACAATTAGAAAAACAAGTTAATACCGAACTAGCTTTGAGAGAACGTGATCGCGAATGGCTTTTGTCTTCTGCTCGAGAACTAATAGAATTATATTCAGAACAGACAACTCATGGCAATGCAATTCGTTCCGAAGTCCAAGACAAATCTGATATGCTGATAGATCGTTGGGAACGCGTTAAATATTTGTCTAAACAACGTTCAAATAAAGTTAACGATCTTCGTATGACTTTGCAGCGTCTGGAAGAACGCATTGCCTTACTAAGATCTTGGATGTTTGAAGTAGAAACCGAATTAAGTAAACCAATAACTTTCGATTCGTATACCCCGCCTATAATTGAAACTAAACTCAAAGAGCACGAAAAGATTCAGAGATCGATTGAGCAAAAGAGCAGCAATGTTGGTGAAGTATTGAATTTGGTGGAAATGCTCTTAAATGACGCCGACACTTGGCGGACGCATTTGAATACCGCGAATTTAGCTTTAGCTGCCCATAATTTAGAACAACGTTGGAAGCATGTTTGTAGTCAATCAGCCGAACGTAAGAAGCGCATTTTGAATGTATGGAATATGTTGCAAGATTTAATTAAACTTACCACCGAGAACAAAAAATGGTTGAGCACCCAAGAGTCTGCTCTTAATGGCTTAGAACGTGATCTTAAAAAATTATCCAAAGATCAAATAGGCGAAAGACAAGAGATTGTGGAAGTCAAACTCCAAGAATTGGATACGTATGAGCCAAATTTAAAGCGGCTTGAACACATTTATGGCAAAATAACTTCCAGTTCGGGTGTTGATCCCGAAAATATACAAAAATTGACTTTACCAACTAAAGTGATGTTGAGCAAATGGCGTCAGTTGGTGCCCCGATGCCATGCCATTATTGAAGCAATTAATAAAAATCTAGCTTTAGTTAAAGAATTCAAACGAAATCAGGACGAAACGATGCATTCTTTAAATTGCATACAACGGGATGTTTCCAAACTAATTAAAAGTTCACCGCAAACGGCGGGTGAAGGTAAAGAAGCCTTAAAACGATTAGATGTGTTTGAACGTAAAATCAAAAAAGCTGAAGAACAGCTAGAAAATGTCAATAAACTGGCTGTAGAAGCTAAAAATCAATTGAAGAAAGACGAATATAAGCAAATCTTGATTTGGATGGAGCAAGTTAATCGCTTGTGGCAACAAGTATCTACAAGCATCAACACAATAAAATCCGAATGGCTTAGGAAGGCAGGTGGCAGTACGGTTGCCGCTGTGGCAGGTGCGATAACGGAGGCAACTATTAAGGCAACTAGTGCTAAAGAATTAGATACTGCAGTGCAGGTCGATACTCTGGGTAGACAACGTAAAACTCGCAAGGCACAAATGGTGCGCGAAACTTCCATTACTGCCAAAGATGCCTATATTTTAGAACTAGAAACCGCTATTAAAGAATGCAAAAGCAGTTTAGATGATCTACAGAGCACAATATGTGATAAAACTCGCAAGCCAGGGCCTCAAAAAATATCTAAGCTCTTAGGTAACTCTCAGTCCTCCACTGACTTAGTAAAACATCTAAGTCATTTATTAATTAACGAGTGTCAGGCAACAGAGAATGAAGCTCAAACAGAGATGGTGGCAGAGCTGACGCTGCGCTTCGAAACGCTGTTATCACAGTGGAAGGCGCGTCAGCAACACGATCAAAATGCAAGGTAAGCATGATCCCCCATTATAATTGCAAGCTTTTGGTGTCGGTTTCACTAACTTTTAATACTATATTGTACCTTTTTCTTATCACAACAACATGTACTACACGCACAATTAATGCACATGTATCCGACTTCGCTTTCACTTAACTAAAACAAAAAAAAAAAAAAAAAAAACAAACCTACTCATAACACAAACACGCCTACGCAAATTGTTGATCAACAATAGCAAATTGTCGGCTGCTTATAAAGACATCTGTCCACAGTAAGTTTACAGTGGTCGAACTGTAAAAATTTTTTAATTATATTTTTATGCGCAATTTTCGAAGATTCGTTTTTAATTTCTTGGTTTTTCGCTGTTTTTTTTTATTACAGTGAGATCGGTCGTTTAACCTGTCCGCTCTGTACACAACGCAATTGGCAGCAAATCGACAATGATCTCTGGCGTCTCGAACAATGGCTACAATTTGCAGAAGGTACACAGAAAGTACAAAACACACCACCTTCGAATATTGAATTGCTTGAAGATGTAGTACAAGATCATCGAGAATTCTTACTTGATTTGGAAAGTCATAAGTCGATTATTTCTTCTCTGAATGTGGTAGGCGAACATCTCGCTACGCACACTTTAGATACAGAAAAAGCTAAGCAATTACGTGATCGATTAGAGCAAGACAATAAACGCTGGAATACAGTTTGCATGAATGCCACCAAATGGCAGGGTCTGTTACAAACCTCCCTAATGGGTAACAGTGAATTCCATGCCATTATCGATGAGCTGTGCATATGGTTGCAACAAACCGAAGCTAAAATTAAAGCTTCCGAACCCGTGGATCTTACGGAAGATCGTGCAATTTTGCAAATGAAATTTGATGAATTTAAAGGATTAAGAGGCGAATTGGAAAGATGCGAACCACGTGTTGTGAGTTTGCAAGATGCTGCTGATCAGTTGCTACGAACGGTTGATGGAACAGCTGGCGAATCAACACACACTTATGCGAGGTAAGCTCACGTAATGCCAAGTCCCGAGGGCGGCACGAAGAAACCTTACTGGGACCAACATTCGAATTGTCTATGAAAATATTAATGACGATTAACATTTGTATGTATGTTGTTGTAAATTATTAAAATTAGTCTTGAACTATAGTAGTAAGCTTTTTGTAGAACTTACCGGTAGATTTGAAATTATAAAATTATTTTCTTATTAATTTGTTTAAAATGTATTTTTCTAAGGCCAAGAAGGAATTTCGAGCTTAATTATCACGAATTCTGTGCTTTTTTTTCTTCTTTTTTATAATTTTAGGTTTCTCCGTGATCTCCTCTAATACTCCTCTTCGTGTGTATTATTAAATAATTTTTAAAATTTTCAATAGGTTTTTCATTGTTTTTAGTATAATAACAAATCGCTTAATTAGATTTTTGTATTAATTTTTTAATTTTAATTTTTCGTTCTATTTTTTTCTTGTAATATTTAAAGGACAAAATTATTTGTGTATAAAATACAAAATGTCCTTCTTGTTGAAATTCTTTGCGAAAGTTAGTTCCAAACCTATGCCCAATAGCATCTCCCCCCCCTATCTTTCTTTCTTTTCTCAGTTAGATCGTTTATATAGAAATTTGAAACATTCTTTTGGTTCCCTTGCATCTGCGTTTTTCGAATCTATTCGATATAAATGAAATCATTTCACATTTCAATTTCAAACTAATTGCAATTACTCTCATTCTTATTTACAACAACAACAACAGCCATATTTATAATTCTCGTTCTTCACCTTTTTTGCTTTATCCCTGAAATTTGCTTTGTTTTTTTTTTTTTTTTTTTTGTTTTCATTTTGTTATCGATATATTGGTTTTCGTATAATTTGCAATTTTTATGTTTGAACTCGAAATTTTTTCGTCCGCCCATGCTAACCCCACATTCACTTACAACATCGTCAGATCTATACAACAAAGTTAATTAAATTCAAGAACCCTTTCCAGATTAACGGATTTGCGCTTACGATTACAATCTTTGCGCCGACTATCGGGTATATACATAGTAAAACTTGGTGCCGTTCTGGGTGTGGATGGTGATCACTTGGGTGTACCGTTGCAAATGCTACCCTCCGATGTAAGTAGAATTTAATTCCAAATTAAAACGAAAATAAGCCTAAATTATTAAAACAAATTAATTTATAAAGAAAGAAAAAAACAGCGCACACTTACTTCCATCATTTTAAATGAAATTCGAAATTTAAAATTAAATTTTTATTCAATTTATTTATTTTTATTTTTTACTTCCATTGTTAGTCTCTTCCATCATCATGATTGTCTTTTATTTTAAAATATATAAAACTTGATTATTGTTGTTATTATTTTCTTTATCTACTTTTTTGTTTGTTTCGTTTTATTTTCATACAGCTTTTGGATCAATCAGTAACTACCTTACCTTCTTCTACTTCTATTCAGGCTGCCGCACCAAACACTGAAAATGCAAAGTAAATATTTGTGTGTCTAAGTAGATATAGACTTTTTAATTTTTTTAAAATATTTTCTGAATACTATTAGACAAAGTTTTCTAAAAACTTTTTGTTCGTGTTTTTAACGTTGGTTTATTTTTTTATTTCGTATCATTTTTTCAATGTGAGCACGCTCTAATACACGTAATCCTTAAGGCGAATGCTCTAGGAAGCTTTATTGATTTTTTTTTTTAAATCTTTTTACATTAAAACAAAATGCTTTTCTCTAGGGTAAAATATTGTATAGCATTATACAGTTGCTCATAGGGCTACTTTTTAAAACAGGGCATTAAATGGCGAAAAGTGTCCGTAAAAGCTTTTCTTGATCAAAAGAGATTATCAAATATCATCAGAATACCTCAAAGATCGGCACAGTCAAAGGACTGGGTCCACCACGCGTCTTCCCAGATACTGCATATACTCACCCAAACCTAATATGCCCTTGCCAGACGCCAGCGGTGTAGAGTATGAATAGGAAAAAGAAAATGTTGCGCTTATACACGACGTAGACTTAACTTCTTACAATCAGTCGTTGTAGGATGAGAATACATGACTCAGTGAGTTCAAGTCAATAAATAAGCTATATATCATAACAAAGTTGCGTTATATACCTAGACATTCTACTTAAAAGCATTTTGTTTTACTTTAAATAGATTATCTTTCTCGACTCTTCGTTTTTTTTTTTTTTCTTTTCTAAAGTGTTCGTTCCACATATCCATATTACATTTCAAATCAAATATAAAATTTTTTATTATACAGCAACGATGGCGATGCTGCAGGTGGCGATGCCATCAATACCACCGTGCTTGCGCGAGGCGCTCGGTTTCTAGGACGCGTTGCCCGTGCTTCGCTGCCCATACAAGCTCTCATGTTACTGTTATTGGGTGTTGCCACACTTGTGCCCCACGGTGAAGATTATACATGCATGTTCACTAATAGTTTTGCTCGCAGCTTAGAACCGGTTCTAACTTATCCCAATGGACCGCCGCCTACATAATCAGAGATCAATTTAAAAAAACAATAACTGACAAAAACATAACACGCAAAGTAAAAAGTGGCTTTTACGACGATTATAAGAAAAAAAAAAAAATGAAATAAAATAAAAAAAGAAAAGAGATGAACTACAACCTAACATAAAATGTAAATTATAATTAAACTAAAAGCAAAATGTAGTTAGTAAGTGTTATTATTAAGAAAAATAAATAAAATTTTTTTTTAATTTAAAATTTAAAAAAAAAAAAAAAAAAAAAAAAAAAAAACGAACGATTTTAGTTAGATCAGTGAATGGAGTTATGAAGAAATTTAATTAAAAGCTGTTTAAATAAATGATCGAAAATCAAATTATAATTAATTTCAAGCTACGAGACGCACATGTCCCCTTCTTTGGTTTATTTATTTTATTTATTAATTTTTTTTTTTGTTGAAAAAAAACTTTTAAAAAAGCCCAAAAAAGATATAAAGGCTAAAGTTTTAAGTTGTTAAATATATTTCTTTATGCTTTAACTTATATAAACAGCAAAAGTTACAAAACATGATATTAAACAAACACAAAAACATTTCTCCTAAAGTCTCACCTTCCTAACAAAGCAAAAAAAAAAAAAAAAAAATCCCCAAAACTTTTAATTTTTATTTTTGAATTAAACTGAATTTCGAAATATCTTTAAGATTTTTTTTTTTTTAAAGTAATATATTTTTCTTTAAAGAAATTGAAAGCAAAAAACTCTCCATTTGCTTTTAAATTTCTTAGAAATTGTATTAAATTAAAAGAAGAAAATATATAAATAAATCACAAAAATATGTAAACCAATTATTATGAAACATTCCCAGAGTCCTTTTATTTTTATTATTATTTTAATTTTGTTGAAGAAAATTCCAAATGTTCTTGTGGTTGTTTAATTTTGTTCTTTAAAATAAAATAAATATTTTACTAAACAAAATTAACAAAAGTTTGAAAAGAAAAAGCAGCAAGTGTCCTATGCCGGTGCTAAACCAAAACTTATTTTTCTAAATAAAAAAAAAAGTATATATATATGTATCAAAAAATTTTAAAAAGAAAAGTATGTAAAAAATTAGTCAACAAACGTCGAAACGCAATCTCCTAAATAATATTCTTGTTAAATAACCTTTTATTTTAGTATTTTTTGAATATATTATTTTTATTATTGCTGAAAGCTTGCTGTTATAATAAATTTGAAAATTTTTGTTCAAGTTTTCTGATTTTTCTAATGTCACATAAATGTTTTCCTAATCTGCAAATTATACGCAAATGTATTCTTTTTTCCTCCTTTTTTTTATGTATTTTTTTAAGTTTCAAGTTACCACGATAAATGTCTGTTTGTTAAAATTTTCTAATTTTTGAAATAATTTTTATCGAAAAAGAATTCTTACTAACCATATATAGATTAACCTGGAAATATACATTTAATAACATTTCCTTATATTATTATTATCATTAACTACGAAATATATATATATATATATACAAATATTAACACACCGAACATGTTATCATAAAAAAAAAAAAACTATAAACATTAAAAATAAATCAACTCTCCTATGGATTTTTTTCTAAATATATAAATAAATAAATGAACAAATAAATATTAACAGTTTAATCATAGTTTTCTTTTTTGACTGTTTTTTTTATTGTACTACTAACTCTAGTTTGTGAGTCATATTTACCGAACAGAGTGGCTCGATATATATTGTATACAGCGTATGACAGTACATTTCGCATCTTATAAAAAACCATATCGACGTATTTAATTTTTTTCATAGCCATCACTGAGGGATGAGAGGTATATTTATTTTATCAAAACGTTCGGAACACCTGGAAAGAACCTTCGGAGGCAGTACATATATTTTTAATCAGCATCAAAGTCCGAATTGATTTAAGCACGTCCGTCTGTCATATAATTCTATGGTAAACAGTCTCGTGGTCGAAAAACGAAACTGTCTTTCTCAACTTTAGCAGAAATATTGAAAATTCTTGCAAGCCGTTTCACATTAAAAATGGGCCAATTTTGTTAGAGGACATAGTCGCACGGCAACAAAGAAAAACGTTTCATTTGCATGTCATTTATAAATCCACAACAAGTACAACAACAAACAAGTAAAAACATTATAGCCTGACATTAGGCATCGTACACCATTTTACCGAGTGCAGTTATTCGCTCGTTTTAGTAATAAAAGTGCACAAAAGTGTACATTATTTTTACGAAGGCTCGTATATTAGAACGTCACATATTTTCTGCATGTAGGAGCTTCCGTTTCGTGTTAGCGCTTATAATATTGGGGTCCAAAAAAAAATAAACCAATGTGATCCAAATTCCCTACTGTTAACTTAATGTCTGAAACGTTGCTATGAATTAATACACAAAATATTAAAAATTAAGCCTTCTTTCGAAGTGTTTACTACTCATGAGTTATCTTATATGGGATGAGCCCAAGAAACAGACCAAGGTGATTGAAATTGGGTCCACTTAATTTTTTAATTTAATTACAATCTGAAAAATTTTCGTTATAAAAAAATTAACAATTAGACTTTTTCGGAATTTAAGGATTTACGCTTCACGAGATTCCCTTTATGATATAGTATCTAAAAAATATATTTACGTGGTCCAAATTCGATAAGATAGACTTCTTTGCCAATTTACTATTAAGGGCCAATTTTCCCCATGAAATATTGAAAATTCGACTTTTTACCATATAAAGCTTCAGTTTCCGTAAGAACAGTTATTAGAGAGGGGGTTCAAAAAATTGCCCCAAACGGTCCAGAGTTTCCATACCAATTTAGAATGCCGAAACACTGCTATTCACTTTTCAGAACAGGGCGTTATATGGGAAATGATCGAAACAATCAGACGGACAGATAGGCTTAGATCGATTTAGAAAATGACTCTGAATCGATTGGTTAGTTTCAAATCTGAACCGTTCTAGACATCTGTATCAGTCTGTCTGTCCGTCTGTTAACTGCTGAGTTAAACGTATCCGTGGTACAAACGTGGTAATAAATGAAAGAAATGCTAGGGGTTTTGTTAGTTTTGTGAAAAATGAGACCGCTGGAAATATTACAGAATGTGAAGAATTGCTTATATTCTTTCCTTTTTTTATTCAATTTATTTCCAATTAAAGATTTTTCGCAAAACTTGCATTAAGGCTTTTCGATATTTGCTCTATCCCTGATAACCGATTATAGGAAATATGTCAACATAATGACAATATTGCTTACATTTGATCATACACAATTAAATAATATTTTTTCCTTTAAATATTGATATAAGAATTTTGATTATAAAGAAAATGTACAAATGCGTGAGCCGCTTCCCAAATTACGGCTGGTGATTAATTTTCTATTGATGCTGGAAGTGTTATTGGGCATAGCAATTATATTAGTGGCAGCTTTCTATCAATGTATATTGGGTTCATTTATGGTGCAGGTGGATCGGAAAATGTTAGCAGCAAAGTTTTTCAATACGTACTTGTTGGGCTTTCAGCTAATAGCTTCGTATATGTGCAGTGTATCAATGTGGCGCCGCGTGTGGAAACGGCGCTACTCACAAACAATTGAGATATTGCTGAGCGTTTGGTTGTTCTTTTGTTTTTTAATTGTTTTATGTGGAATGGGAACGGTTTGGTCATTAGTGAATAGCTCGGATGCTTTGGAAAACACTGCCGAAATAATGTTATTCTATGGTATTGATTTATATTATATGATGCCCGAATGGAAATTGTTGTGGGATCAATTGCAATACTCGCAGGAATGCTGTGGAGTTCATGGTTATGAAGATTGGGGGCATGCAAATTGGATGCCTAAAGAGTATTCTTCACTGGGGCAGAGAAGGTTTGCAAATACGGTACGATCAAGAACAAAACGCACGATCGATAATTACGCCGCCTACGACTATGATCAATGTGAAGAGGTGCCTACTGAATGTACAGAATCGACAATGCCAACAACGCCTGCACCGCGGCCAACTACAACCGCACAACCAGCACCGAGTGCAACGACGGTACAAGCGGGGCAAGAGAGGTAAATTCAAATGAAATATATTCATTCCGTGTAATATATATTTTTTGTTGCTTTATTAAGTAATGAAGGGCAAACGTTGGCTCCCTATGCATGCTGCAAACATGAAAGCACTACCTGTTATCAAAATTATATGCCACGTAGTGAGAACTCACCCATACCTCATTTGAATTTAACGGACATTAATGTTGGCGGATGCTTGGCAGTATTTTCCTCTTATATGTACCTTATGCTAAACATACTCTTGGTTCTTATGCTGATTGCTATTGCTGTGGATGTAGGTAAAATTGTTTTTTTAAGATGGATGCATTACTCTGACACCATTTTTTTTCTTGCAATTAGGTACTGATCTGCTGTTTTACAAAGTATTTAATGTTTGTAAGCGCTAAAGACTGTCATTTAGAAAATAAGGATCCTTATTACGACGACGCAGGCAACGCCTTAGTTATAGTGCGATGTCCACCCAATGTTAAGTGCATAACAATGGAAGAGCAAGCATACCGCTTTACCAGTGACGAATATAATACATTTGTCGATTTAGATGTGAATAATTGCTGCTGCGAGAATCCTTCTACTACAACTGTAGCTGGCGAAAATGCTCGGAATTCACGCAAGCAGGGGAACTTAATTTTGCATTAGAATTTAAGTAAACTCATCTTATTTATTAGTGTTCTTGCTCGTCATATGTTCGGCCATAATTTGTGAGAAGATAAGCATATTTTTCTATTAATTTATTTATTTAAAAAACTTTGCATTATTTTGATATTGCAACAATTGTACATATGAAATGTATTTACTATTAATCCCTTAAGGCTCTCACACAAATTTCCATTTTGCTATTTTAAAGCCGGTTAAATATTTGTGTTTGTTTTTCCTGAGTTTCTCCTTAAGGTTTCGTCGCTATAATGTTTGCGTTTTACGTGTTATCTGACGTAAAGACACAAACAGTCCAACTTCTTCTCGGAGTTACTTTCACATTCCACAATGATATCATTACATGATCCAAATTTTGTTTTGTCTAAAGCGGAATTAGCCTTTGGTGACCAACTCTGACAAACTGGATTGGACGGCAATTCGGATTTAAATTCGTGCAATTTTGCTGTTTTAACTGTTGTCTTGCGATTGGTAAAAAAGTACCTCTTCCTCTTCTAATTTTTTTTTGCAAATTTTTGGCTTCAAGGGATCAAAAGTGGCAAATAACATTCATCATATGCAGCTGTTTTGAAATTTTCATAACGTTCATCGTAGTTGCTAGTGGTTACAAGATGTCTGTTGATTTTCGTAAGCAACATTTCTAAGGTAGCAAGTTATAAGAAAAACACCTGCTTTATCGCATCGAACAAACAATATTCTAAATGCCTTCTGAGAAGTTTTTGTTGATGTGTCGGAAAGCTTTTCAAATTTTTTCATAAATTTTCACAAATCGAATTCATAATCATTACTGGTCGAGACGAAGAACTAGAAAAAATGAGCAAAAAAGATTATAATGAAAATAGCTACGAAGCTGAAGGCAAAGACGCTTCTTCAGACGATGAAGGTATTATCGGCTGATAAAATTATTAACTAGAATTAATGGTAGTGCTAGGATTAATACAATTGTTCCTAATATTTACTCTTTGTTAAGGAATGAAGGTAATTTTGTTTTTTTTTTTGTTTTGTTATTTAGAGCACAAGCCTAGACCAATCTTGCAACATGCAGACCAAATGCCTCGTCCTCAATATACTGATGAAGAATTAGACCGTCTAGTCGATTATATTCAACGTATGACTACATTGTTTGCTTTGGATCACCGCGATTGGGCAGAGGAAAATCTGGATATCATTCGACGATGGCTAATGGAAGTGGATCAACCATTGTTAACCATTTTTTATGATGCTAACAAGCTGAGCGCTTGTTTAGGTTTCCCCGTAGCGCCCGTTTCTGATCTCACTTATTTCTATCGGGAACCAAATTTTATCTTTTCAGTTGGAAATTTTCATGACGAAATAAATATTGGTACATTGCATGAAGATGTGGACGGATGTTTACTGAAAGTCCTACAATTAGTCTTTGCGCCAATTCTTCGGAATTCCGATTGGAACGATAACGTTAAATCGCGATTCTGCAAAGCAATGGATAAATTTCTCGGTTATCTCACTAGCTTAAATTCGAAAATGGCAGGCATGACAGTGCTTTATGTACCGCATGTAGTAAAACAAATCGCTAAAGGCAATGCCACACAAGATCGAGAGTTTCTAAAAAATATGGAAGCGGTAGTTGTGTTTTGGACTAATCAAATACGTACTTTGCTTACGGACAAGACGCTAGTAGTGCAACATGACTTAGTAATACCAGAGGAGGAGTATGAATTTTGGTTATACAGATGTAAGTTGAAGAAAATGATCAGAATTAATTAGAAACTGTAATTTTGCTTGCATTATAGTCGAAGTTTTGCATGGTCTCAACACCCAATTAGATCAGGACGACGTTCAAGATATAATCACTATTTTGCGAGCTTCACAGTCGGTCTATATAAAGCAGATCGATGAATTGATAAGTGAATGCCGCCAGGAAATGGAAGAGGCTAAGTCAAACATCAAGTATTTGTACCTGCTGATCGAGCCATGTGCCCAAATCGATAAAGCGGAGAGCCCATCATCTGTGCCTGCTTTATTGCCACGCATTATCAACTTTATTGTCTACATATGGTTGAAATCGCCTTTTTATAATCGCAAAGACCTAATCACGAACCTTTTTCGTAATCTTAGTAACCAAATTATACGCTTTTGCGTAAAACAGACTAATGTTGAAAAGATTTTGGAGGGGAATTCCCGTTTTGGCATTAAAATGTGCAATATGTCTATTGATTGTTGTTTATCCTATAAAGCAATCTATGAACGCATGGCCAAGGAGCACGCCCGCAAATTTGAATGGGATTTAGATAATGCCATGATTTTTAATCATGTTGACGCTTTCGCGGAGCGCTTAAACGATCTGATCGACATATGCGAATCAATGATTGTTTTCGCACGCTTGGATGAGAACGAAGCCATACCAGTGCCACGTTTCGGTGGCACCAATGGTAAAGAATTCGAAAAAATAGCTGAGAGCGTCGAAAAGCAGTTCATGCAGATATTGGAATCAATGAGAAATGATTGTAAAGATCTTATTTTGGATGTTCATAAGAACTCGTGGTACGAGGAAGTTTTGAAGTATAGGCACACAGTCCGTAGTTTAGAAGAAACTGTACAGCGTTTAATGTCGAATGCTTTTCAGAAGGTATGCAATGTTGAAGAAGCAGTTGAAGTTCTGAATGTTACACTGTTCTATTCGTATCGTGCAACGATACGCAAGTCTTATTTGGAAATGGTTAGCGAAATGTGGATGATGTTTGTGTCTGAAATCAATGCTACGGTAAAAGCTCAGATGGATCGTGTTAAAGTTCATGAATCGTGGTTAAGTTATTATGCGTCCCGCGCAATAAACTATCGCATTAATCTAGAGCGTTTGCAATGGTTAAGAGATCGTTTGAAAAATTCTTACTGGTTGCCTTCAGTCCCAGAAGCCAAGGGGGCTTTGGACAGATTTGAATCTCTAAAAAGAGATTTTGAAAAGGAAATTCAAAAAGCCTTTGATGACTGGGTACGTAAATGCAGTAGCAGCACTTTGATGAATCGTTTAGATCGCACACTGTTGACAAGGAGCAAAGTGAAGCGCGGTCTTCTTGAATGCAACATAGACCGTTCGATTTTGACAATATGTCAGCAAGCAGAACAATTTGAACAACTTGGTTTCCTAATAGGAGGGCACTTGAAAAGAATTTACGAGAGATATCCGACCTTAAAATTCGTGTACAATAGCGTTGTGACTGTTTGCGTAGATTATAATCGCATTTTATCCGTTCTGTCCGACGACGAGCGTAAACTGTTTCAGGCTTTGATACACGCCTGCGATCGGAAAATAGCTCCAGGGCTATTTAAGCTCACGTGGGGTGGAGAAATGAGCGATGCATATATTGCCGATTGTGCTAAACATACTCGCAAGCTGCAAGATTCGTTGGATATATATAAGAGAGCTAATCGCCATATAGCTCGTATATGCGAGAAGATATGTGATACACCCCTACTAAAGTTTGGTTTGTCTGGTCCGGCTGAGTTGCCCTCGTTTGACATGAACGTAGCGGCTTTTAACCGTAGGGCGACAAATCAACTTGTGAATTTATATAATTCCGTTATCGCTTTGTTGTTTGCCGTGTTCAAAGAATTTCAACCAGTTATTGATGAGGTAAAAATTCTCATTAAATGATCATCTACTTTACCAAATCCTTTCATTTTTTCTCGCGTCTTTAGATGGCAACTGAATGGTATAATTATGTCACTCAATTCGACGAGATGTTGGCAGAAGCTCTACTCATTTGTTCGCGCAGTTCCCTGTCAGTTGTATATAACTCCTTATGTTCTGTAGGCGATATTCATCCGGCTCCTTTGATCATAATGAATGTCAACATCGAGAACCGCATTATATCCTTACAACCATCCATGGATGAGATCGCGAACGTTATGCTAAGTATGCACGCACGTGTTGCTAAGAGCATTGGGGCCATGCCACGTATTTCAACCAAGTTAGGATTACCGAAAGAATTGCAGGGAGAACCCTTTTCTCAAGTGATGGCAATGGATCCTGAGATAATAGAGCTGCAAGACCAAATAAACTTAGAAGTTGACTACAATAGGGAGGAAATTGATAACTTTGTATTGTCATGGAAACCACAATCTTTCATATGGGAACGCACAGAAGGCGAATACATTGATAAAATCGAGGGAACAAACCAGGCGGCAAAGGTTTTTGATGAAAGCATCGAATTAATGAGCACACAAGCGGAACGGATCTCAATAAGAGAGACGGTAATCAATGTCTATTTCATCATGGTAAATCAGAGTAAACTGAAGCAAACTCTGATGGATTTTATAGAGCAATGGCAACTATTAAATATTAAACTGTTAACAAAACGGGCAACGTCACGACTTAAAAGTAAGACTTTTCTAAAAATGTACAAGTTTTGTTCACATAAAATATAATCTCTTTATTGGGATCTCCACAGAGGTTTATCGTTATATGCGGCGTAATGAGCAACGTATTTGCATAATGCCCCGCAACCTGAAGGAAGCCAAAGAAGCCTCAAGCTTGTTAAACCGTCTCATGGAAGAGGTTCCAATACAACAGGGTGAATTCCCATCGATTTTAGAGCTTTTTGAAGTCCTGGATAAATATCAAGTCGAAGTGGCTCATCCGGCGAGAAATTTGTTAAATAATCTTACGCCTGCTTGGGAGAACTATTTAAAAAAATTGGGCGATGCCGACGAAATGCTATTCAGTACTAAAGAGGAGTTTAAAAAGAATTTGCAAAAACAGGCGGAAAAATTCCGCAATGTGATGAATCATTTTTATTCAGATTTTATGCTTAAATTACCCACTTCCTCTCAAACGTAAGACCGATACCCATAATCCTTTTCAGCCTTTTTACTCCTTTTCCATTGTCCTTTTGAAAATTCATTTTTCCCTTTTCCTGTAGAAATCCGAAAATTGCTATCAAATATTTAAGAGTTGTCAATGAAAAAGTGGAGGAATGCTTCAAATTCGAAGAGAGCCTAATAAATGATTTAGCTATTTTTAGTATAAATCTCGGGGAGAATGCGGATTTACGCAAGTTATTAGTGGAACTAAAAATTGTAAGAGACATTTGGGAACTAATATTGGAATGGCAGGATAATTGGAACGAGTGGCGTACGGGAAATTTCTGGCAAATCAATATTGATTTAATGGAAGATACTGCCCTCGGCCTTTACAAAGAATTTAACACACTTTTTAAAAAATACTATAGTCGCAATTGGGATATGTTGATTCAAACCACTAAAACGCTCGATTCCTTCAGGAGAACGTTACCGTTAATTACTGCTTTGAAAAATCCGAGCATGCGCAAAAGGCATTGGGACAAAGTTCGTCAGGCGGTGCAAGTGTAAGTTGAGGTTTAGGTTTAGGTTCTACTAGACCTTTTCATGAACTATGAACGTTTGCAGAGATTTTGACGAGAACTCGAAAAAATTTACGTTGGAGCTAATTATAGAGCTGGACTTCCAATACTATTCGGAGGAAATCCAAGATATATCAAACGCTGCAACCATGGAATTGCTGATTGAGAATAATATCAAGAATATAGCCAGCGTATGGCGAAAGCAAAGCTTTGAAATGGTGTTTTATCGTGATGGCATATATCGTATCAAAAGCGTTGACGAATGTACACAATTGCTTGAAGAACATATGGTCCAAATATCGGCGATGAAAGCTACGCGGTTTGTCGAGCCGTTTATAACAGTCGTGGATAATTGGGAGAAAACTTTGTCATACATTTCCGAGACACTGGAAACTGCTTTAGTAGTCCAACGTCAGTGGTTATATTTGGAGAACATTTTCGCTGGTGAAGATATTCGTAAACAATTGCCAAACGAAGCTAAACGTTTCGCGGCCATTACGGACGAGCTTCGCACCATAATGGCCAAAATGTATGCGGCTAAAACGGCTGTACGTGCTACCCATTTAAGAACTCCACCCTTTCTCTTGGCACGTTTTCACAAAATGGACGAGCGGTTAGAGTCCATACAAAGAGCTCTTGAAGTATACTTGGAACGCAAACGTCAATTATTTCCGCGATTCTATTTCATTTCAAACGATGACCTTTTGGAAATTCTAGGCAACAATAAACGACCAGATTTAGTACAAGTACATTTGAAAAAGCTCTTTGACGGTTTGACGAAATTAGAATTAAAGAACGCGGGAAAAACTCTTAATCGCTGGCAAGCCTCTGGTATGTACGCCGAAGACGGTGAATACGTAGAATTTTTAAATGTTCTATATGTGGAAGGTCCATCAGAGAAATGGCTAAGCATAGTGGAGGAGTACATGTTCGCTGTATTAAGAGAATTATTAAAATTAACACGAGCAGCTTTGAAGAAAATGGCTGCCAATCGCGAGAAATGGCTTTCACAGTGGCCCGGTCAACTAGTAAACACTACTAGTCTAATACAATGGACTACCGAATGCACCCGAAGTTTAATCCATTGTAAAATGGTGGATCAAAAAAAACCATTGCGTAAACTAAAACGTAAACAGAGTAAAATTTTGGGTAAACTTTCAGAAATGAGTCGAAAAGATCTATCGCGGATTATGCGTCTTAAAGTCAATACCTTGATTACTGTCGAAATTCATGGTCGAGATGTGATAGAACGTATGTATAAAAATAATTGCAAAGATGTCGGACATTTTGAATGGTTTTCACAACTACGATTTTATTGGCATCGTGAAACAGAAACAAGTGTCGTCCGCCAAACTAATACGGAGCATTGGTATGGCTACGAGTATTTAGGAAATTCAGGCCGTTTGGTCATAACTCCTCTTACAGATAGGTGCTACATAACTCTGACTACTGCTTTACATTTGTATCGTGGAGGTAGCCCCAAAGGTCCGGCAGGCACAGGAAAAACTGAAACAGTTAAAGATTTGGGCAAAGCTTTGGGTATTTGGGTAATTGTTACTAACTGCTCGGAAGGCTTAGACTACAAAAGTATAGGTAAAAATTTTTCCGGTTTGGCTCAAACGGGTTCTTGGGGTTGTTTTGATGAATTTAACCGCATCAATATTGAAGTGTTATCCGTAGTGGCTCAACAGATACTCTCGATTATGTCGGCATTGACAGCTAAACTTACTCAATTCACCTTTGAAGGACAAGTTATCAAATTGCGGCACACCGTCGGCCTCTTTATTACTATGAACCCGGGTTACGCGGGCCGCACTGAATTGCCAGATAATTTAAAATCAATGTTTCGGCCAATATCAATGATGGTGCCAGACAATGCTATTATCGCTGAGAATACTTTATATTCGGATGGTTTTATGAACACGGGTAGCTTGGCCCGCAAAGTTTTTACCTTATATGAATTGGCTAAACAACAATTGTCTAAGCAATTTCACTATGATTTTGGCTTAAGATCTATGGTAGCCTTGCTACGTTATGCTGGTAGGAAAAGACGCCAGCTTGCCAATGCCACCGAAGAAGAGGTCGTCTATTTGGCTATGCGTGATATGAATGTGGCACGCCTGACGGCGAATGATTTGCCTTTGTTTAATGGAATTATGTCCGATATATTCCCAGGTGTCGGGGTCCCGTCTATTGATTACAGTGACTTTAAAATAGCTATAGAAGATGAATTCAAAGGTAACGGCTTGCAGCCAATACCTATAGCGGTGAAAAAGGTGATCGAATTGTACGAGACTAAGAATTCAAGACACTCTTCCATGATTATTGGTGACACTAACACAGCAAAATCAGTGACTTGGAAATGTTTACAAGGTGCATTCATACGTATGAATAATAATAAGAAACCCGGTTGGCTGGCTGTGGCGGTGCATCCTATAAATCCAAAGGCTCTCAATTTGGCTGAATTGTATGGCGAATATAATTTAGCCACTGGGGAGTGGTTGGATGGAGTACTCAGTTGTATTATGCGAGTAATTTGTGCTGACGAAGATCCTACCCAAAAATGGTTGTTGTTCGATGGACCGGTTGATGCCGTTTGGATAGAAAATATGAATTCTGTAATGGATGACAATAAAATTTTAACGTTAGTTAATAGCGAAAGGATAACTATGCCTGCTCAAGTCTCGTTGCTTTTTGAAGTAGCTGATTTGGCTGTCGCTTCACCTGCTACGGTGTCACGTTGTGGTATGGTGTACAATGATTATCGTGATTGGGGTTGGCGTCCCTACGTTGAATCGTGGCTTGAGCGACAAAAACCGCCAGAGTACGTGAAATATGTTCGTGCATTTTTCAACGAGTTCGTGGATAAGGTACTGATTTATAAGCATCAAAAGTGTAAGGAAGTGGTAAAAGCAAATGAGCTGAACGTCGTCATGTCTATGTGTCTCCTTCTGGAAGGATTTGCAACCAAGCAGAACGGCATTGTAGTGGGAAATGAGGAGCAGTTAGAAACAATGACTAAATTGTGGTTCTTATTTTCATTAGTTTGGTCAGTTTGTGGTACGGTGGATGAAGAAAGTCGTTTGCGTTTAGATGCTTTTTTACGTGAAATGGATAGTTCTTTCCCTCTTAAAGACACTGTTTACGACTATTACGTAGACCCCGGGCAGAGTTGTTTTATGCCTTGGGATAGTAAACTTTCTGACAACTGGAAGTACGACGAGAAGTGAGTTGAAACTGGAACTAAAACCATCTTTGGTCTCAACAATATGATATTATGATTTTAGCGAACCCTTTTATAAGATCATAGTGCCAACCGTGGATACGGTTCGTTATGAATATTTAGTTTCGAAAATGTTGCAAGATGGTTATCCCGTGCTACTTGTGGGTAATGTAGGTACGGGAAAAACTTCGACTGCTGTTAGTGTCATGGAAGCTTGTGATAACACCAAATACACGGTTCTTTCTATTAACATATCAGCTCAGGTAAGTCTCTTGTCTACCCATAATGGCGACTCACTTCCACCAACTTTTTTTAAAGACTACGGCGGCTGGTTTGCAAGAATCCATTGAGAATCGAACGGAGAAACGAACTAAAACACATTTTGTACCGATTGGTGGCAAGCGTATGATATGCTTCATGGATGATTTCAATATGCCAGCTAAAGATACTTATGGATCACAACCACCACTTGAGTTAATAAGGCAATGGATCGATTACAAGTATTGGTTCAATCGTCGCAATCAACAAAAAATTTATGTTATTAATACACTGGTAATGGCCGCCATGGGTCCTCCTGGCGGAGGACGCCAAGAGATTTCCTCACGTACTATGAGTCGATTTTATCTTCTTAATCTAACGTTTCCTACCGAGACCGTTATTATGCGCATTTTTGGTAGTATGCTTAAACAAAAACTGTTAACCTTTTCAAATGAGATTCGAGAGATGTGGCACGGAGTTACCGCAGCCACTATTAACATTTATAACGACGTTATTGTGCGTATGCTACCTACTCCTGCGAAGTCCCATTATCTATTTAATTTGAGAGATATATCAAAAGTTTTCCAAGGATTATTACGTGC